ATGAATGCCCAGCATCTCTCTATATATCTACAGTCAACGATTTAATATTTACCATACATGGTACTGTAGTCCTCTTCAATGAACTTCCCTTTAGTCCTAGGGCAATGCTACTTTAGTCCTTTTCAAATGATTCCTTTTGGGATCTTACATATTTATCCTAGTGTATTTTCCACCATACACAAAATATTCAACTGGCTGGATATATATATATATATATATATATATATATAATTTGTGTATCTAGGCAGCAAATTCTTTTTTAGGCATGTCTGATTCAATAAATTACAAACATTATGTCTGCTTATTTTTATCATAATCCTTTCATATTCACAAATATTTTTCTGTGTATTACAATTGAGTAAGGAAGTGAATACTTGCCTAAAAGAGAATTTGCTGCCTAAATACAGACACACACACATATGTGTATATAAACCAAATAATTAGATATTATCAATTGTATATACCTGCGTTAGTGTGCATACACAGATAAGCGAATAAATATTTACTTAATAAGGTGTCAACAAAACAGTGCTCAATGTAGTTAGACAGAGCTAAGAAGTATATGTTAATAAATATACATATACCTACGTTTGTAGTGCAACTTAAAGGTGAATGAAGGATATTACAGTTGTTTTTTTAAAAAATACTGGGTCTCATGGGAAGAACGATAAATTAAACGTAGATTCAAAGCGAAAAAGTTAATATAAACTTAATATAAGATTGGGGTGTAGGGGGCTATTGTAAAAGAAAAAAAAACCTAAAGATGCAAGCTTAAAATTTAAATGAGAAAAGAACACTGTATATCTCGTTAAGTATTAATGGACGCTTAAATGGTTAAAGGGAGGTAATCAATATGTGACCTAAAATATGTAAAGTGTTTATTAATACGTAATGAGCTACACAGTGTTCTTTTCTCATATAAACTTCAAGCTTGCATCTTTTTTCTTTTCCTTTTACAATACCCCCCCCCCATTTTGTGAAACATTGGAACTAAGTTGTAGTAGTACTTTAATGAAATAAGAACAAGGAGACAAACTAGTGAAAAACTACCTTCCTCTCAGTGACTTCTATGATCAATGTGATACAAGCATTGCTGCAAGACATAGCAAGTTCCTGTGGTAATAAAGAGAAGAAAGTACAAATCTCATTTGAAACTATTGTTTTTTTTTATGCATTTCAATTTATATTACAATTAATCATTCATACAAAAAGTAGATTAGTAAAGTTAATGATATAAAATGGCGAAATCCCTTTGCTAACAAAATTTTAAAGGTGCATTAACCTACCAATCACTCGATGAATGTTATGATCTTTGTTTATTGTGTTTTTTTCACCATTTTATATCAATAACTTTACTAATCTACTTTTTGTATGAATGATTAATTGTAATATAAATTGAAATGCACCACACACACACACACACACACACACACACACATATATATATATATATATATATATATATATATATATAATAACTTATGACTTTATGCTGGAATACCCAGTAGGTGATGGAGATCATACACCTGATGAAGGCTGACAGACACAGTCTGCATGTATATTTACATGCAGACTGTGTCTGTCAGCCTTCATCAGGTGAAAATAATAATATGGGCTACTTCACATTCTATGACATTCATCAATCTTTCATGCATTGATTTTTTTTTTTTTTTAACTTGTGTTTTGATTACACCATACTATTATTTCTTGCCAGATATCGTCTTTGCTTGATCAATGTTTTACATTCACATATACATCTCTTTTTATGATAGACCATGAGTTTCCATTGGATTAATATCTGGAGAGGCTGAGAGACCTTCCATTAATTTAAAACCCTTTTTTGGCAAGGTGGGCAATAGTCAGTTTTATAGAATGTTGGATGAACATCATGCATGAATATAATCTTTAGTTTAGAGCTTTTTTCTTGTGACCTGTAACACTCAATTATGTCTTGTTCAAGAACTTACAATTATTCTCTGCATTAATCTTGAACCATCATCAACTTTGAAGGGAATTATAATTTTACTATTTCCAAACATTATGCTCTCCAGGGTTTGTAATTACTTGAAAAGTTAAGTTGAACCTCAAGGTTGGTTTTAATGTGGGGACCCAAGTGTCTTCACTCAGGGCACTGGTCTTAGCTGGTCAGAGCTGGTTCAAGCTAGTCATAGCTATGATATCACCAGCGCAGGAACAGATCCCTGCACCCGGTAAGTATCAATGTGTTACAAACTATTCAACAGAGAAGTTTACATGCTCTCCATGGTTATATCTTAAATTGTGTTGGTTTTCTATTTCCATGATAGATTGAATCTGTAGGAGAGCTATCAAGTCCATCCAATGTAGCTCTAAATGAAAGATCATTACTTACCATATTTCCTATGAGAAGTGAAATGGTGCATTTGCTTCCTTCTTTATAGAAGAGTAAAGAAGCTGGTGAACCAGAAGGTGTTTGTGATTGGACTATAAAATGCCAGATGAGTACAAGTCACTGTGCATGGCACGCATTACGAGAACAGTTGTAGCTGACAGATGGGACACAAGATATATCTGATCAATATCAACTGGATCTCTGTGGAGAGTGGGGTATGATGTTGAAAGACTCAAAATCACTAATGATCCTTGGCTAAAAACATTGCTGATGATGTGTGCCAAAGGATCAAACCATTGTATTTCACAAACTGTTCGACATTGATTTTCATTTAATTCTTTATCCACTTTATGTGTTTCTCTTACTGATATTTACTTAAAAGTGTTAGTTGGGTTACTTTTATGTTTTGAGCCAATATTTTTAATATTCTGCATCCTTTCTCTCCGTTTACATTTGCAAGACCAGCTTCTTCAAATATTTTCTTTCTGTTTAATCCACTTTTCTTATTAACCTTTACTGTTCTCAAATGTCTTTTTTTTTTTATGACTTTCTTAACGCCAGATTTTTCTTGTTTTTATCTTTCCATTGTTTTCAATTTATCTTTAGATATTTTTTTTCAATTTCAAAAATTATGTTTCTCATTTGAGTTTAATATCTTTTTTTATGACCCATTGCAGTTTTTATATATTGTAAATTTTACTAAGCATAATAAAACCTGATATATAGAACTTCATCCTCCATGAGAACAATTTTGTTTTTGATGCAATAATTTTGTGTGAAGATAGGGAGAATTTCCTCCTCATTACAGAAAAATTAAATGACCAGGGTTCTAAATTGCTTGTATCCTCATTTAAAATCCTCCATATTTGAATGAAATCCACCATATTCGCATTGACAGTCTCCTGAGTTTGTTCTTGTTCAAAATTTATGCAAATAAAATTGATATGGGGTTGGGGTGGTGGTGGATTATAGAATCTAATCTTTAGTGAGAAAATTGAAAGCAATTATCTGCATTCAGCTTAGGAACAAATGTGTAAATTGAGTCAGTTTGGATTTCTTTGCATAGTAAAGAAACAACTGGAAATCAGTCTTCCAAATAAAAAATATGTTATGCACCTGACTGTGAATGCAGTATATACTTGTGTATAAGTCAGCTTAACATATAATGCAACCCCTAAATTTCTTTTGCATTAATTTTAACCCCTCCAGAACAAAATTATGTGTGTATAGTGCAACCAGTCACCAAAAATGCATGATTTTTAACCTCTTCAAAAAAATTATCTGTGTCTAGTGTGAACCCCTGTTTTTTTGCAGAAACAATTTATCATAAAAACATACCTGAGTATATGTCATAGGTTGATCTGATCAATATACTTGCCATCCATTTCATTTTAGTTTGCTTCTATTTTCTGGTTTACTTTACTTAAGTTAAAAAAAAAAAAAAAAACACCTACTTTTCTGTGTAGATTTTTTTTTTTTTTTAACCTGAAGAAGGTAGTAGAGTGGATTGGCCAAAATCTGGTAGCAAGAAAAACATTGCATTCTGTAAAGAACTCTTGCAATAATATTGATATCAATTGATCTCAGAATTTTGAATGTCTCTTGTCTACTGATATCCATCGTCAGTGTTTTTAATGAACACTTGTTGATTGCAATTCTTTTTTTTTTTTTTTTTTTTTTCAGGTGTCAAAAGCTGAAAATGAGGTCAAAATGGTTGAGAAATATAAACATTTGGTTGACCAAGGCCGAGAGCAATTTCGCAGGGAACTTGAAAGTATTGTTCCAAACGTAAAGATTGGAGATAAAAAATGTGAGTTTGCAAAGTTGTTTTACTTTCCTCCTCCTCCTCCTGATAGATCTCTGTCACAAAAATATGTCTCCTTATCATCTCTTAATTAAAAGAAAAGGAAAAAAAAATCTTTCTATGATGATAGTTAATCTGGTTGATATAACAAAGGAGTTTCTTTTCATTCATTTAATATTAGTCACAAAACTGGGCAGCCATTTTATTCATTTGCTGAGTTTTATTGCTATCTACTTATCTCTGTTCTATAATGAACTCCTTTGATTTTTTTAACATGCCTTTCAGTCACCATTCCATTGCAACTGGTTTTATTTAATAAGTATAACTTAGTTTTGGCACAAAGCTATAATTATAGAAGCACCTAGTGAGGCTTTAATTTTCTATGAATGATCTGTAAGTCCAGCTTGTTAACCATTACATCAGAAGGAAGCAACCATTCCAATGTAAATGGTTAGATTCCAATTAATTTTAATCTGATCATTCAAAAGTTGTCTTAATCTGACATGACACGAGAATCATTTGTATTTTTTTTTAATTAATTAAAAAATTTATAATTAGAATTTGATAAGTAAACTTTCCATTTTTTGCTCAGATAAAACTAGAGTAAAAAAAATGTAAAATTTATTGATTATGTATTTATATAGCTATGGATTAAACAGGGTAATTATGTAAGTATGGATTAGATATGGTGAATTATATAGCTATAAATTAGACACGGTAATTATATAGATTTTTTCATCAGAAAAATGAAAAGCAGATGAGATTTGTCCACATATTTTCCTGGCTCTTCATTCTGTTTAAATATTCCATCTCCTTTATTGGTTGATATAGATCAAATTTTATGCTTTATGCGCACATTAGGATATTTACTCAATTTATCTTCTTATATCATAGATACAGTTATCAGCACAGGTGGTGGAATTGGCAATCTGAGTTCAAATTCCAACCTCATCAGTCACTTTTTTACTTATGTCCTTTCGGAAAAGCATGACCCCCATCTCTTTTCCCCACTAGTTATGAGTTAAATCGCAGAGCAAACTGGGCTTTTAAGAGAGCCATGATTGCCTTAAAAAAATAATTATGCACCAATAATTTTTGGGTTTTAATGTCTGTAATTGTTGAGAATTATCTCCCTTGCAATGTAAGGCTATATATTTAAAACTTGTAATAGTAAAAATTTAACATTTGACAGCATGAGTACACTAGTGTTTATATAAAGGAAAGAAGAAAGATATCTTAAAATTGAAAACAGTATCAAATGCAGTGGATGCATTTGAAGTAATTGGAAAAAGTGCACAATTTGTAGGTTTATATAAACTAGGCTGACTCAAGAAATCTAAGGGCTGCTTTACAATTTTGTTAAGACTAAAAGGAATATTAAACTGTCATTTGCTGGAATATTGACACTTTTTAAAACCATTATTAATTTTTCTTTTTTATTTCATCTTAGGCTCTCCATTGCAACTATTCAAACTGTCAGTCAATGGTTGTTAGTAAACAAATTGGAATCAACAAATATACTCTTGACAAGATTTGAATTCAAACGCCTTTGTTACTTTGGAAAGAATTTTTTTATTTTATAGCAGTTGCTCTAGCACTTGAGTTACAAATTGGCAGAAGATTGAACATCAACTTTTTAAACTTACTTTTAATTTAAAACTTGTTTTACTAATGGGTATCTGCAGTATAGAGTTAGTTGGTTTGGCAATTTATTTTTCGGTATCGGTTTCCGGTTTTGTTTTCCTTGATACCACGATTTTCGGTTCGGTTTTTCAGTTTTTAATTTAGTATTTTTGCTTTCTAAGGAAGCCATTCATTTTCTTGTGTAATGATAGCATTTTCAGTCGTTATCTTATTTTGTTTGAGATTGATAATACTTAATCTGTTCAATATCTTGTATATTTCTGGTCCAATCTTAAAAATGTTCATATGGCTGGAAAGAAAATAATATAATCTTTCTTATAATATAATTTGTATATGCTTTTATTCATTGAATTTTTTTTTTTTACAGTGAGTTAAAACGGTATTGCTTTGACCAGCCAAAAATGGGAAATGATTTTCTTTTTTTTTTTTCTTTTTTTTTGTTTTTTGGAAACTAAATTTTAAACATTACTTTGTTTTGCAATATCAGAGTGACAAATCTTTATCAATATTCTTGAAATTGTACACTCAATTAGGAGAAAACTTAAATTACAACCAGGAAGATGTTCATTTCTTCTCTGACCCAAGGAAGGGATTTCCTTCAAAAATCATAAAGTAAGCAAAAAAAAAAAAAACAAATGCCAATTCTTTTCTGGTACACTAGTTAGCTATTATTGGGGTTTTGCAAATAAATTTCTTCTAAACAAGGAAAATCAATGAGTTATTTTTCCCCTAGTTAAAATTGTTTTTATCTACAAATACACCTAAAATTAAATATTAAAAATAATTAAAAGCTTTTAATTTAATTTTTAGAATGTGTAGATTTCCAAACCTGCGAGTAGCAACTGTTCTTTTTTTAGATACACATTTTAAAACTGAAATTAAAAACTATTTTAATCATTTTAATATAATCTTAAGTGTATTATTTGCTAGATAAATCCATAAAGTAAAAATAAAATGAATTAATTTTCCTTGTTTAGAAGAATTTTATAGAGTAGGTGCTATGAAAAGCAAGTAAAATTAAGATGAAGGAAATAATAGTTAAAAATTAATAATAGTTTACAATGATTCCTCTAATAAAATTCAAGACAGCATTGCTACTACTAATCTTGAAAGTAAAATAAATGAAATTCAGATGAAAGATATACAAGTCCAACATCATTAAGGTTGACAATGTTTTCTAATAATAAAATCTAAGGCAATATTCCTTTTTATAGTTTTGCAAAGGTTTTGTCAATTATTTATTTATTTTCAGCAAAGAAAATGAGTGAAGATGAACTGAACTCTTTGATTGCTCATGCCCATGCACGTATTGACCAGTTACAGAAACAGTTGGCTAAACAAGTTGCCCTTGAGCAAGAACGTTTCCAGGATGCAGTTCGTGCACAAAGAGATGAAGATGCAAAATTGGCAAGGGAAGGGACTGAAGAGGAAATCAGGCATCTGAAAAACCAGTTTGCCCTTGAGAAAGAAATTATGGTAAGTGAAGCAACAAAACTGGGCCTAGTATCTTCATCTTTGTTGTTTTTGATCCCCCCATTTTGGCTTATTAGCTTTCTGTCCATCTCTAGGTGTATAAGACAATACAAGACAAAAACAAATATTTTGTTTAACTGGGCCTTGTCATCATTAAGTTGCCGACTGGAATTCATTTGCTGAGACTTCAGTTCAAAGGTCACATGACTGTTATAATTTATTTAGAATATTTATACTTCATGTCATAAATGAATGAGCTAAAGAACAAAGTTCTCTCTCCAGATATTTCTATATTAAATATTTTTATCTTATTAGGTTGTCATCTAGGGTTATATGAACCATTAATGGATCTGATGGTAGTAACAGAGGCAAGTGGAAGTTGCATTTATTTTACAAAGTTTTTAATAAGTTAGACACATGCACACATATAACGATTGTGTATTTATGTGTGCATGGAACTGATAGTAGCATGGCTGACCATTATGACAACACTTATTTTTAAATTAGCATAATTGCTGTGCTGTTAGGTATTGAGCACTTTTTGATGTGCATTTTCATACTGCTCCCTACAGAGTGACATTTTTTTTTTATTTTGCTTTATAAATGTAATATTACTCTTGCACGGGAGTCTTGAAATGGTTGAGCACTTTTATCATAACTGCCCCTCTGCTTTAGGACCCTATCATATTGAACATTCTTTTGGAAAACGCACCCTTTTTGTGTATTTTGGTTGTTTTTTATTTTGTTTTCAAATCAAGGCAAATATTGTTTGCCCAATATAAGGCACAAGAGCTACTCAAGGTAGAGGGTTACTGAATGGTGTCTTTTTCTGGACATAAGAATTGTAGGATAAATAACAGTTGATGCTTGACTTAAAGTAGTTAAGATTGTAGTGGTAGGGAATGCATCCTCTTGGCACTCTGTTCCACAAAACAACAGCTTGTGGAAAGCAACTGTCTGAATGGGAATTTCTTCTTACTAATGTTATGGTCCAATATCCTCGCACCACAGTTATGGTCCAAGGTTAGAACCAAGGAAGAACAACACAAACACAAGAGTAGAATAACAAAGATATATTACAACAGAAATATAGTACAAGAAGTTGAAGGTGTTAATAATGACTGTCTGTCTGGTTTAGAGTGAACTAATATTGTCTCGACTCGTTACACCATTCATTCATTATACCTCTTGAGAGGTGCAGTATTTATAGTGTCAGGAAGAGTCCATTATTGTTAATCCAGAATTTTTATGTGGCAGCAATGCTGTGATGTTACAGCATAGTGAGGTTTCAAGAGCCCCTTTAGAAAGTACTACACCTCAGTAGCTCTCTAGCCATTGATGCACTAGGTGTTTAGTAATTGACATGTCTTCAGAATATGATCGTTGAGCTGCTGTTGTGGAGAGCCTTCATGCTGGCAATAAAGTCAAGGAAATCACTGAATGGCTTAAATACGTTAAAGCCTTTTTCTCTGAGACTCAGATGATATGGACAATTTCAGGCCAGAATGCAAAACTTATAGAAAGTGCTCTGGCGCCACCAGGACACTTGAGTTCATTCCTGACAGCCTCCATCTTGATGTCAATGACTATGTAGGGAGATATATAAAATATATAGAAAATAGGAAAGAACTGGTTAGGTAAATGATCCAAAGTTCTGTAGTATTTTTGGTATTATTTTTAAAAAACAGTACTCGATACAAAAGTAGAGCATAAATATAATTATTTATTAAAAAATATGATTCCAACATGCTACATAAGAGTTCTCCTGTTTCAAAACAAGAGCCGAAAACATCAATATAATTATTTGAATTAAATTGAATTAAAGTAAGCTCTGTTCCATCTTCAAGTGAAATTCTTTTTGGAATAACTTATATCTGAAATTTACGTGTTTTAAAAGCATATTCATTATTGAAATCAAAATTTCTATGGTAATGGCTAGAGCAATTGTTTAAAGAAAAAGGGGTGTAAGGTGTTAATAATTTGTATCAGTATAAAGTTACATTCACAGATGTCAAGTCAGATATATATATATATATATATATATATATATATAATAGAGCTTTCCCCTTCATATCAGGATTAAACAATTCAGTTTTAGAAATGATCTGCCAGACTACCTAAGCAATGCTAAAGGTCACTGTCTACCCTACTATTTAATCCATAGATGGAGGAGGATTCATATCTTTTCCAAGGGCATTAAGGCAAAATTAACTAAACAGAATTGACTGAAATTTGAATTTGCTTCAGTGATTTCACTTTATACACCAATAACTATTACACTATCCACATACACACACACACACACACAAATAAATTAATATAATAGTAAACCTCAGTTTTGAGTATAATTTATATTTTACCAAAATTAAAATAACTTTCATTTTATTTGACTATTTTCTTTTCCATAATATTGTAACTTTTGGTGAAATCAGCCACCTTTGAGCCTTTCCACCTTAATAAGTGAAACTGTAAAATAATTTGTTTCATGTCAACTTTGACAAAGGACCATAATATTTTCATTAATAATCAGTTTCTCTTTTTGAAGAGAGTATAATTTTTAATGCATTCCCAATTATCAAATCAAAACTGAATGTCTTATTGATGCCAACCTTTTCTGGTTTTATTTTTTGTTTCCAGATGAAAGATGCCCGAGTGAGTTTTGAAGAAGACCTGCGTGCACATCTCGCTCGGCAAGCTGCTGCCCACAGTGACCACTTGAAAGATGTTTTGGAGGTACAAAAGAAAGAATTGGAGACAGAATTTGACAAAACCCTTAATATTAAACTCTTGGAAGAACGATCAGCCTTCCAAACAGAAATGTCTGGTTGGATTGGTCGTCTTAAAGGAATTGAAGCAGCTGTTGAAGGTTAATATTTTTTTCATTTCGTACGACTAAATTTCCATTTGTTGAAGATGTTGCAACAGCTACAAGCTACAACAGTTTTTGCATCTTACACTGAGTAATTTTACTTTCAATTCCAAGGTTTGAGCATGTAACTTGTTATTGCATTTGTGTAAGTTTTATTTTTTTGGACTGGCTTTTCTCAGGAGGAATGGAAAAAAAAAAAAAAGGAAGACATTTTTATCTGATTTAATTAATAACTGAATTAAAAAAACACTATTTTTCAGTTATGACTTTTTTGTAGCTTGAATATTTGTAACTTTTTGTTTACTTGTTTAACTCACTGTAATGTAAATGTATTTTTTATCTTGACGCACATTAGGCATTGTCTTCCGTTTTTGTATTATGTTGCCAAATTGATTACCTGATTTACATATCTGAATTTGTTTGACTGAAGAATTATTATTTTATTTTATTACTTCTAATTAATTATAGTTTACCACATTTTATTCACTACCATTTCTTTGGTAGTTTAGCCTCCAAGGTCAGGACTACTTTTAGACACCAGCTGTATCAACTGCTACTTATATGGCAGAAATTTGCACATCAGTGAGTAAATGGTTTCAAATGTTTGAAAAGAAAGTTAAAAAAAAATATTGATTATTAGCTGTGTGTCAATTCTTCCAATTAATTGGAAGCAAATTGAATCCTTTTTTTTTTCCTCTTGTACAAGGGGTCAGTTTGGAAAGTATCCAGCCATTTTTAATATCTTCTACAAGGGGTCAGTTTGGAAAATATCCAGCCATTTTTAATATCTTCTACAAGAGGTCAGTTTGGAAAATTATCCAGCCATTTTTAATATCTTCTACAAGGGGTCAGTTTGGAAAATTATCCAGCCATTTTTAATATCTTGAGAACTGGTTATGCAGGGCTTGATTTTAACTAGTCAGTGGGGACCTTAACGTACATGTGTGAACAATCTCCTATGGAGTTACTTATTTTGCAGTGATATGCTACTGAGTGAGCTTGCATACTGTGAGGCTGCCACATTCACAAGGAACATTCATCCTGTTTTGCTTGGAAATTGGATATTTCTTTGTGGAAACTATTCATATGTTTCATAGCTGAGTCAATGATCAAAGCCCAAGTAGATTTTTGGCATTGATGCTTCAAACTTTTTAGGAATCCATTGAAATTGAGATATAAAATTTCTCTTTCTCCATAGTGTGTGCAGATAGTCTAGGGGTAAGATTCTCCAACTGATGTCAAATTGGTCGAGTTTTGATTCCGGCTTGAAGCTATTACGTGTCTAGCCACATTGAAAAGCTGTGATACTGTGAAACAGTCAGTCTGTGGATGACTGTATCCTGACAGATTACATACATGTGTTAAGCTTTCATTGTATCTTCTACAGTCATAGACAGAATGGTGTTATATTCAGAGCATTATTATTTTACATTCATACACTCCTAGGGTTCAATCACTTCCACCTGAATACAATTGGTTATGGATTTAAGTCCAATTAAAAGTAGTGCTTGTCCTTTTCTATACAAATAAATTTAGGAATGTCAAAAATTTATGTTCTCAATGTGTCTCCAAGGATCTACTGTAATTTATGGCTATTTTTTTTTTTTTTTTTTAACTGTATTTTGTCATTTTTGCTTTTTATTCAAGCACTTTGAGTCATTAAATGCTTTGAAAAGCAGAACAAATTATGAAAATCAGAAAAAAAAGAAATGGCTTCCAATGTAGACTTGAACTTGTATCCAACATTTTAGGAGACTGTCTTTGATGTTGCTTGAACCATTTTAACTATGATTTTAGTCATTCTGCCATATCTTAAATTTCCAATCAACCAAGGCCACATTTATTTTAACCCATTAATGCTCTCTATAAAATCTAGTATTAATTATAAAAATCAAAGTCCAATATTAATTATAGTTTCTAATTGTAGCCAATTAAAGCCCAACATCTTTAAAATGAGATGTTGGCTATTAATGGGTTATGGTTTCAGATGAGGCTCTTTCACTATTATTATTATTATTATTATTATTATATCAATACTTTTAGTCAGTTATTATTTTTTATTAGATCGTTGCAACCAATAAATTCTTTGGCAGAGCAAACAGCATGGAAATTGAAAATTGTATTTATGTTTTTAGCATTTGTTATGTCTCTCCATTTGATTAAATTAAAGTTTTGATGCATTTACTGAATTTAATTATTGTGTGAATAAAAAAAAAACCTGATGAATATTATCAAATAAGTCAGTCTGGACTATTTTATTTAAAATGAATAAAGAAAATAATTTCAAGTCAAATTCTGTATTAATACTTTTATAATATAAAGTTGATTTATAAGAATTTAAAACACAGTAAATTGTTCTAGTTTTGATATCCTTCACTTAAGCCATTAATATCGGCTATCCTGTTTTGGGGTCAGTGGATATTAATGGGTTATAGATAGCAACCTATAATATAATACCAGATTTCTTTTTAATAAAACTATAATTAGGAGACATTGTGGAGTAATGCCTAATGGTTTGGATTGAGGAATCAGAGAACTGAGTTCAAATTCTAGTCAAGTTCATTATATTTATTTATATGCTAATAACCTTGGGAAAGGTATGAATCAATTTTTTCTTCTCCCAGGGTAAAATAACAGGACAGGCTGGGTTTTATAGCCTTAGGTGGCAACCAGTCTAGGAGAAGGAAACTCTGAATTCAAACCTTCAGGCAAAGGCTAGAAGAAGGTAACTTAATAAAAAAAACAAAACAAAAAAACTCCACCCCAGAGCAAAAGGAACCAGCAAGCCATTTCACTATTCTCCTTTGAATGTCACAATGAATCACAATTGTGTGATGGAGGGGAATGTAATCACAGCAACACAAAATATGTCAGCTGAATAAAATGAATGATGAAATGGAACCTATAACTGACATGAGATATTCTTCAACATTTATAATTAACACTATTTACATTATTTGGACTATTGTCCTCATCTTTGTTGCCATATTTATTACAATGTTTCAGCTGTTGTATGCTTCGGCCTTCTTCAGGTGGTTGGAATGTTGAACTGAACCCTTTATTTCACTCACTGGTGTAGACTGTTCTAGTTCCACGTGCCATGTTTAATGGATGTCAGTTATCAGTTATCTCCTGTTAATTCCCCTCTCCAAGTTCTCCACTGCCTCAAGGACACATGGCACAGTGGATAAAGGCGTTGGTTAGATCCAGTGACAGGACCCAAATAGTGTAAGTTCAATACCCGGTTAAGGCAGTACATAGTGTATAGTGTACATAATACATCATCTCAGAAATATAGACAAATTTATAATTAATATCTGATTTTTATTTTAACTTTTATAATCAATACAGGATTTTATAGTGGATATGAATGTTATCATCTGGTTATTGTTATTTAAAACACCTTGTTGCAAATGGCTTCCTCTGCATTTAGCAATAACAGTGGAATTTCCACAGATCTCCTACCTTGTTGGATCAGACCAGCAAAAGCAAAGCTAATATAATTTTTCTTTAAAAATTACTTTTGACTTGTTTATTTAATTCTGATCTCATAATTTTTTTTCTTTTTCCAGCCAGGGCAGAGACTGAGAAGTTAGCCAAGCAGGCACAGGAATTGTGGTTGGCTTGTGTTGCTCTGAATGGTGTTGTACGTCAGGGTCGTAAGAATCCATTATCTAACGAGAACCAATTGAAACCTCTTAAAAAAGAAATTCGAACAGTGACAGATGCTGGACAGAATCATCCATTTGTCACTACGGTTTTAGAGTCCATACCTGAAACGGCCATTGAGCGTGGTGTGTGGACTGAGGATGCTTTAAAAGAGCGTTTTATCAAGGTAAAAAGTGTGTGCAAATCAGTTGCTATGGTCCAGTCCCCAGGCGAATCCCTATTTAAATATCTTCTCTCTTATCTGCAGTCTTTCATTATTTTTGAATCTGCGTACCTGAAAGGTGAGGAGGAGATTGCGTTGCAAGATTTAAACACTTTCTCTATTTTGGCCAATGCAGATTATTTTCTTGAGAAAGGCGAGTTTGAGAAGGCTGTACGTCTAATGAATCAGTTGCATGGTCAATCTCGGTCTGTAGCCTCTGACTGGCTGCAGGAAGCTAAGCTCTTTCTTGAAACGAGACAAGCGGCTGAGGCCCTCATTGCATTTGCAGCAGCTAGGGGTCTTGGAAAGTTATTCTAGGTTTGCGAATGATGTCAACATAGGATATAAGAAAGAAAATGCAAAACAATCGAAGAAAAACTTATAAAATCTGCATAAATTCCTTTTTTCTTTTCTTTTTCTTTTCTTTTCCTTCTTTTTTCTTTTTTTGTCCTAAATGATGTCACTGACAATCTGTTTTGTAAATTTAGCATTTTTTCTTGGAAGTCCGTGATTTGAAATGTTGCATCAAGATTTGAAAACTCAGTTTGAACTAATTCCTTTTTCCCTTGCCAACAATGCAAATAAAGTTGTTAACATCAATTATTTTATTTTTATTCTTATTTCTGGAAATTCACCAAAACCAGATTAAAACACTGAGGCTTTTGAAAGAAAAAAATATCAGCAAGGGAAATAAATTGCCAAAAACCTAAGTCTTTTGACATTTAACACTAATTTCTTTATAATTCTCAGTTTGCCTATTACTAATTAATGAATTAATTAGTCCTCTATCATTTAACATGCATCTAGAAATCTTATAATTTAACAGCATCTTTAAATAAAAGAAAGAAAGAAAAAATAACTCTATCCCATAATATTCATTACATTTATTATGGAATGTAACAATTATTGTAGGATAAGGTCATATTAAAAAAAAAAAAAATAAGTGAAAATATTTTCAACCGTTTCTTTGTTCTTGAACCTCTCAGTTTTGGATGAAAATTCATATATATATATATATATATATATATATATATATATATATATATATATATATATAATGTATGTATAATATTCAAACTCTTGTCATCAACTTCGTTGTTTTAATCCCAATATTTCTTCCAATAATTTCTTTGGCTTTGCTTTGGTGCATGTTGCAGTCATTAGTGTCTATCTTAGGTAGCTTTGTACTTTTTTTTCTCTCCACTAAATGACTTTTAAGGAGCACTCAGTGTAATAGGCATCTGAACAAGGCCGAAGAGAGCATCAGCCAAAATGTGCTAGAAACAACAAAGATGAAGAGTATAAGCTGAAAAAATGTATAGAAAAATAAGCTTAAAGAGAAGTTTAAAAAAAACAAAAAAAAAAATTTTTCTTCTTTAAAAATCAGTGCTTCAAAGTCTCTTACCTGGATTATCTCCCCTGGTTTGGATGTTATCGATATGCCACTAGGTGTCAGTGAAGCTGCTTTAAAGAACGTGTTGATTTTTTTTTTTTTTTTTTTTTTGAATGCTATTGTAAGTCTTTATGTATAATAGAAACATTATCTTATCTCATTAAGAGAAACCTTCGTTATTTACACTTTTCCAAGTGAAGAAGCAAATTTAAATTGTAATTACGTTTTATGATTAGCTTCTATATTCTGTGTTCAGTCTTCAGATTTGAAAAATATGTTGATTGACATTTTTCTTTCCTGCTTATTTTGGGTTTAAAAGGAAAAATAATAACGTTAAATGATTTTCTTTTCCTTGCGTTAAATGTCTCCAGGATATGCTTGCTTTGATTATAAACTAGGAATTTCAATTTACTGGAGATGGTTTTTGGTGACAAAGAAACATTGAAAAAAGTGCTTGTTTTTCAAATTGCCTTAACATTAAAATATACAGAAAGATGATTGAGAAAGTACGTTTCAAATTATCATAATTGAAAACCCTCACTGAAAGAATTTAAGCATGGTATTTAATTTCTCAGCCTTCAAAGTCCATTGTTTGAAGTAGGCCTTTCCCCAAGCTCTGCTTTCATTGATTCATTGATTTTTTTTTTTTTTTTTTCATTCCTGTATATTACAGGACCAAAACAAGTTGTTTGTGAAGTGGAGTGTAAGCTTTGAATAATGTTTGTACCTCTTTGAGAGTTGTATGGTGATGCTGATACAGTAATAATAGTGACATTCTAGCCTACCAAATCCATGAATGACTGTAAAAAAAAAAAAAAAAAAAAAAAAAACAGCAAAAGCAGCAAATTGTGATTTTTAGTTTTGTTTCCTCAGTTTTTTTCGTTTGTCTCAAATCTAAATTCTACTGAATTAACAATGAACTTGCATCTTAGTGCAAGCCAAGTTTTCTAAAATCACTCTATCCATTTTTTAGTTCCATTCTGCTAATGGCCACTCTGAAATCTTAATGGATTTTGTCTGCTAACAAATCAAATGGCACTTCTTGAATTGAACTTTGGAGCAGAGGGCTTTTCAGTAGTTGCTAGGCTGGGTTAACTTTTTGCCTGGTTGTATATAGGAAAAGAATTGTAATATTCAGAAAGTTTCAAGTTGAGATGAATAAATATTTGACACTTTTCAATAGTTTTTTGTTCTGTTTCTCATTGTTTTCTATTTAAATAAAATTGTATTTTTTATCCATTTGTCATTACATATGTGGAGAAGGCTTCAGCTTTTGCCTTTAAATTATACTTACTAATCAGAACCTGGTTCAGTTTTTTTTTTTTTTTTTTTTAAAATAAAAAACACGTAAAATTTTTAGCCAGGGTTTGACTTACAATAAAGGTATGCCAAAATTTAACATAAGTACTTGCAAAAAAAAACAAAATTAATCAAAAGGACAATTTTTCTCTTGGCACCATTATTACTGTATACACTCTCAGCAATTTTTATAGTTTTGAAAAGCGATTTTTATAATTTTAATAAAACCCAGATAAATGGGATTTATGTATTCTCTTTTCTTGAGATATGACAACAAAGATGTTAAACACTATTTTATTAGATTGTTTATTTACAAAAATAATTTTATATTTACAAGTTTGTGTTTGACGGATGTCTAATAGCATTTGAAACAAAAGTGAATATGATGAGACAAAGTGGAAAATTTATTAATGACTCATTTCACCAACAATGTATGCTCTCTTTGGCTTCCTCAGGTTAGAATGAAAGAAAGACAAAACATTTGTTGGATTTTTAAATCGGTTCGTTGAAACTAGTGTTTTTTATTATGTATTTATATTTGCATATACATGTATATACATACAGAGCCATCCAGACATATGATATTAGTCATTTTTTTTTTTTTTGTACATTCATGTACACATGCTCACTCATATATATTAATACATATATATATACACATCAAGTTTTTTTTATGTATACTTGTACACATATAAATACAACTATTTTTTTATATATTATATATATATATATATATATATATATATATATATATATATATATATATATAATGAAATGGATTAAGTCCAACAAATATTTGGATACATTTTCTGTTTATGCGTTATATATACAATTATTTAAATAAATGCCTTGTCTTTTTAATTAAACAGCATTAATTACATTTACCAGCCTGAATGTTTGAGAAATTTCATAAAAAATATGCGTTCTCTAACTGGAATCAAAATTATATTAAAATAATTGTTGGACTTAATCCATTTCATAATATGTTGTCATTGTTTATGTTAAGATACATTTTGTGAACAGAAATGATCGATTGAAAAAAATTGTTGAAGATTGTGTTTATAAACAGTAATTCAGACTTTGCTAACCGAATGGTTCTCTGTAGCTGAATGGTACAGCACATCACACCAATGACGGTTTCTGTATAGGAATACAGGTTCGATTCCTGTTGGAGAACACATATCTTCTAGAAAATTCCTCGAGCATTCAGTCTGGTAAATATAATTAATACTGTTTAATTAAAAAAACAAGGCATTTACTTAAATTGTATCTATAATAATAATGTATAAACAGAATAAATAATTTATATCTTTGTTGCCATATTTATTACGTTTCCTCAAGGACACATGGTGCAGTAGATAAAGGCATTAGTTAGATCCAGTGGCAAGACCCAAAGAGTGTGAGTTAAGGCAGTGGAGAACTTGAAGAGGGGAATTAACAGGAGATAACTGATATCCATTAGACATGGCACGTGGAACTAGAACAGTCTACCCCAGTGAGTGAAATAAAGGGTTCAGTTTGACATTCCAACCACCTGAAGAAGGCCGGAGCATACAACGGCCAAAATGTAATAAATATGTTGACAAAGATGATGACAATAGTCCAAATAATGTAAATAGTGTACATAATACCTCACCTCAGAAAATATATATATATATATATATATATATATATATATTTTATATATATATATATATATATATAATGTACACACACACACACAAAGTGTAGCCATGGGAAGAACTGGATTTAAATTGTTCAAAGTGGATGGATTTTATTAGGGAGGGAAGCAACATGCTCAACACCTTTGAGGATGTTTGGATTGAGCATGATCTCCGAAGAGGCATTCACTCTTATTTGCCAATATGCAATCTTAGAAATGTGGTGTCTGTAAACGATCTAAAAGGTCATCATAACCAGGAACAAGCCACCTATGCCAACCTGTCTTATTGTCCTGTTGACAATACCTGTGTTGTTTGTAACAAGGTTTGCAGATCATCTTCTGGGCTGAGGAGGCACATGATAGTAGAGTCATAGGGAATGCAGATCCAATCAAAGGTACAGAGTTTATCTCTCATGTATGCAAAATCAAATGCTGGTTTTATGGGTCATCTTAGGGCCATCGATACTGAAAGCATCATAAATGATGCAAGATATTACATAAGCGTTTCTCATCTGAGTACGATGTTGCAAGCACCATATGTGTGTGTGTATATATATATATATATATATATATATATATATATATATATATATATATATATATATCTTTATCCTTCCTTACATCTATCTCTGTTCCTATTTCAGTCTGTTCATATCTATCTTGTGTGTGCATTGGTTTATTTTCCACTCTGAAGCCTCTTTCTTGTTATAACCCTAACCCTGCAGTTATTCTGTTGTTATTTCCATGGCAAATGTTCAGATGAGCCTCATTTTCTTTTAGTTTCATCAATTCAGACCTTTACTGCTAGTCATACCATGGCTTCAAAGAAACCTTATTTCCCTTGTGTCCCAAATGTAAAGAGAACATTTCATGCCAACAGCTTTTTCCCAAGTACTGTGACTTTGTAGGACAGACTCCTGCTTAGTTATTTCCATGAACATTTAAATCCAACATTTCAGCATTCCTATTTTGTTGTCTGTAACCCTCTACCTTGAATTACTCTCGAGCCTTGCATTGGATAAAATTTAGTATAACAAGCACTTTTCTACATAGCCAGAAGATTCCACTACATAGAGATAGGCAGTTCAGGTATATCTATGTAGTGGACTCTTCTGGTGACGTACAAATGCCAAACATGTTTATGTAACGAATATTGCTATAAAAGAACTTAAATTGTGATTGGCTCTGTAGATAAGTACGAGATCTGATTTAAAAGTATTGGGGTTGTTGCTATGGTAAATTACGCTCGGCACAGATTGTCCTTGAAGTCTGTCGCGCATGCGTACTAAGTTATAACGCTCTCCCTCATTTCCGTTTATAGCAGAACTTGGACGGAAGGTGTGTAGTGTGTGGTCGTCCCATCACACCATAGAGATTCCATCAGTGGTCATGGCATGTACAGCATTTTTGGGTCAAGTACAACATTTCCCAGGTTCGACAACTACCATATTCCCCAGATCTCACGCCTTGCGACTTTTCCCTCCTCAAAAAACAAATCCGATTTCAAAGGAACAAGATTTTAAGACGTCCAGGCAATCCAAGAAAATGCAACGAGGAAGTTGCTCGCTGTACCAATAAGGTCTTCCAGGAATGCTTTCATAAATAGAAACGATGCTGTGACTTCAGAAAAAGACTACTTCGAAGGAGACTAAATGCCGAATTGATATGTGTTGTAGTTTTCTTTTTATCGCACCAGACCCGATACTTTTTGATCAAATTTAATTTATTCTGTTTTTATTTTATAGCATGTGCACAAGAGAGAGGATAAATTGTTATCTTTCATTTTAGCTTTTAATATTTGGAGAATATTGACAAGGAATAAAAAACGATAATATAAGTTTTTTATATTTAATAAGTACAACGCAATTACAAAAGTAAGCGCCATTTCTTGATGGCACGTGTCAACTCGTATAAATAAAGGGTGTCTCAACAACTTGGACCGATTTTAAATGTGAATTAAGTTTAATCTAATGATTTTTTTTCTTTTTCTTTCAGATTTAACAACTTAAGTTTTTGGCAATTTCAATCCTGGAAAGATTAACAATCAAACAACGTGTTAAAGTTATCGAAACATATTATGAAAATGGACGTTCAAACAGAAATGCATTTCGCGCACTTCGCGATTTTTTTGATCAACATAATCGACCAACCAAGAGTGCAGTTGGAATAATTGTTCGTAAATTCAAACTCGGTCGGTATCAGATGTGAAAACACCATTGCATGCTCGTTTACGCCGTTCAGCTGAAAACATTGCTGCAGTGCACGAGAATGTGGCCGAAAATCCAGACCCCACTATTCGTCATCGCGTGCAGGAATTGAACCTCTCCACAACAACGTTACATCGTTTCCAATTGCATTCTCGTTGGTCGATTATGTTGACCATAAAAATCGCGAAGTGCGCGAAATGCATTTCTGCTTGAACGTCCATTTTCATAATAAGCTTCGATAACTTTAACACGTTGTTTGATTGGCAATTCCAACCACGGAAAGATTAACAAAGACTTCAGTTTTTAATTGTTAAATCTGAAAGAAAAAGAAAAAAATCATTTGATTCACATTTAAAATCGGTCCAAGTTATTGGAACACCGTTTATATCTAAGAAACATTTAATGTGAAAGAAAGAACAAAAAAATGCTGTATTCAAATTAAATGGAGAAAATAAAGAAATCGAAAACAATATTGGATAATGTCCTTATGTTATTTTAATTCTTTCGTTTGTCTGTGATTTGAATAACTTGATTTATATCAATTCTTGTGTTCTTCAGGAAGTAAAAACGGAAAAATAACTTCAAGATTTAATTTAAATATTACAGAAAAAAATCCTTTTCCCGAATTATCCAAAACGTATCGATAATTATTTACACTATTTACATTCGTACCATCTCTTCCTCTTCTTGTTATTATGACAACGTTTCGGCCGATGTGTTCTCCGGTCTTCTTCAGGTGTTTGTCGAGCCGGGTAACCTTCAGAGAATTTTAAACTAAGCCCGTTATTTAATCTACCAGTGTAGGTTGTTCTCGTTCCTTTGACCATGTCTAGGAGAGATAACTCATCTAGTTCTTATTTAGTCCTGTGCAGTCATTGTTCGTCGTTTTCAATGAGTCTGTGTTTGTCCTACCCGGCCCAGGGATTGAACTCATAATTGTTATATCACCAAATTCACCAACCAACGGTTTAATCAGAATGAGAAGTATGACTGTTGAGTTCGAATTCCAGTTGGGTTCGTTGCATTTACGTATGCCCAAATACTCTTGGGAAAGGCAAGGATCTATTTCCCCCCCCCTAGATATGAGTTAAATAGTAGGACTTGTATCTGGACAAAACATTGTTATCTCAGCGAAATTATTAATTCAACATTCACTCGCAAAGCGGAAAGACTTATTTTACAATCCCAAAAATATGTTTCGATTTTAAATACCTCACAATCAGTTGAGAATACTTAAAAGTTTACTTCGGCCACAACCTTTTACTGTTGAAACAGTTAAATATAACCGCCGCTTCTACTCGAACAGCTTCTTCTCTCACACTTCCCGACAGTGGGACTCCCTTCCTGTTACTTGCTTCCCTGATAGCTATAATCTTCAAAAATTTAAATGTAATGTCAATCGACATCTGATGCCTTGATCCCTGTTCTTCGTATTATCCATTCCTCCCCTCCCCCATACCCAGTCTTTTTCCTCGACTTACACTCTCTGTAGCTCCTTGAGTACTAGTGACATTCCCGCCTTGCTTGGGGTGAAGTGCTCAAAAGACATATATATATATTGCAAAAACTAATTATCTTAACGGTTCGACCGTTCTGCTCCCCGGCTTTCTTCAATTGCTTGTTAATCCAGTTAATCTTCAGGGTATTTCGAACCGAACTTTTCATTTAAGCTACGGGTAGATTATTTTCGTTGTACCGTCCATGTCTAGGGATATTTCGTAGTTTTCTTTTTTAGTACGGTCCTGTTAATGCGAAAAACCTACCCTGTAAAATTAGATAAAGTGTCCACATAGAAAATCCTTGAAGATTACCTGGATCGAGAGAAACTTGGAAAAGGCCGGAGGGCACAACGACCGAGACGTTGTGATAACAACAACAAAGACAATGATATTAGGGAATTTCGAACTAAACATTTTATTTAATTTACGAAGACAGTTGCTCGTGTTCCACTGGCCATGTCTAATGATATCTTGTTTTTTTTTTTTTTTTTTTTATTATACTACTGTCCTGTTATTTATTGTCCTGTTTCTACCGAATCTGAGTTTGCACTACCAGGTCCTGGGATTGAACTCATAATTATTATCCACCAAATTTACAGGACAATAGGCTAATGGAGTAAAACGTTGCTGAGTTCAATCCCAGGACCTGGTAGTGCAAACTCAGGTCCAGTAGAAACAGGACAATAAATAACGGGACAGTAGTAAAAAAAGAAAACAAAACGAAATATCATTAGACATGGCCAGTGGAACGCGAACAACTCTTTTCGTAAATTAAATAAAGTGTTTAGTTCGAAATTCCTTAATATCCTTGTCTTTGTTGTTATTAGTTTGTTGTGTTCTCTGGCCTTTTCCAAGTTTCTCTCGATCCAAGTAATCTTCAAGGATTTTCTATGTGAACACTTTATCTAATTCTACAGGGTAGGTTGTTCGCGTTCCGCTATCCATGTGTAAGGGTATCTCGTCTTTTTTTTTTGTTTTTAGTACTTCCTTGGTATTAACCCTCAACATGGGCAGCGAGACGAGAACATTGCCATAATAACAACAAAGATGAGGACATTAATCGGAAGGTAAATAGTGTAAATTAAAGATAATTCTCATCCAAGAAATTCAAATAGAACGTATCGATAATTGATCCCAATCAGTTAGTAGTCAATACATTAGTTGATTATACAAAGATGACAGGCCTGTGGATTATGCATTATGTCGACTATTCGATTTCTTATTATCATTTCTGTTTTCCAATCAGTTTACGAAATCTGTCTCAGACAAGCGTCGCCCTTCTTTTCAGAATTCTTCTGCTTTGGATTACGCATTATTTTTATTTTTTTTAAATGAATCTGTTTTGTATTTCCATATTTCAGGCAAGTAACCACTCTTTTACGGCAATTGCCTGGTAACTGTATTATTATTAGCAATCATTTGGTATCCCAAGGTCGATGAATAATACATCATGGATCCTGTCAAGACCTCCATTTCGCGCGCATTCGATGGAGACGATTAACAATTAAAGAAGGAAATTCATAGAGTTTGCGTTAAAAAAAAAACAAAAAAGAAAAAAAATCCTCATTTGCAATCTTTGAAATCCAATTCTAAGATTTGATCCAATTTCGACTGCGATTTTAGACTCTGAAAAAAAAAATGAATAAAATTAAGAAAGTAAGAAACAATTAAAAACATATTAAATACCAATTGCAAAGGCCGACCGGCTTTAAACTGGAAAAATCCGTTAGAAATAAAGGAAAAAGTATACAACTGATATATAATAACATTATGGTAGTGACTACTGAACAATTTTCTCATAGAAAAAGAGAAGATTTGAGTCAATAGAGATGCTGTTCTACAGACGGATGCTGAGAATGCCATGGAGAATATGTGTAACCAGGAAGTTTTAAGGAGATTACAAACAAAAAGGGCACTTGTAATAAGAAAGTGACAGTTGAAATTTCTATGGCGCATGAAGAGGAAAGAAGACTTGGAAAATTTGATATTCACAGGACATATTGAAGGCAAGACATGGAAATTGCGAGTAACTTCAGGGAGTCGGAGTGATAGAAAAAACAGAGAATAAAAAATACAAAAAGATAGGAAGTTGTGGAGAGACCTGATTGCTCAATGCTTGAAGGGACACGAAACATAAAATCCGAAATCCTATTTTTCTTTTACTTGGGCTCGAGTACAAGCTGTATGTGCTCAGCTATTTTAGCCTCAGAGTAGGCCATAACCGGGTATTGAACTCACACTATTTGGATCCTATCACTGGATCTAACCAACGCCTTTCTCCACTGTGCCATCTGTCCTTGAGTGTGAGTTCAATACCCGGTTAAGGCAGTGGAGAACTTGGAGAGGGGAATTAACAGGAGATAACTGACAACTGACATCCATTAAACATGGCACGTGGAAGTAGAACAGTCTACCCCAGTGAGCGAAATAAAGGGTTCAGTTCGACATTCCAACCACCTGAAGAAGGCCGGTGTATACAACAGCCGAAACGTTATAATAAATATGGCGACCAAGATGAGGACAATAGTCCGAATAATGTAAATAGTGTACATAATACCTCATGTCAGAAATATAGACAGATACTGAAAGGCTGAAACGTTGTAATAAATATGGCAACAATGATGAGGACAATAGTCAGAATAATGTAAATAGTGTACATAAAACGTCATTTCAGAAATATAGACAGATAATGAAGGGCCGAAACGTTATAATAAATATGGCGACCAAGATGAGGACAATAGTCCGAATAATGTAAATACCTCATCTCAGAAATATAGACAGGTAGTGATTGATTCAGTCGCGAGTTTTCATTAGACTGTATACGATAATGTTATACATCGAACTTCGCAAAATTATAAAGACTCCTTTCCCTTGCAAGCTTTTTAGTGATTAATTATCCTCAATCCTGGGTATGACGATAAACTACATCCGGCAGCAAGGCCTCTGATCTGAAGACTGGAGGTTTTTAGGAGCGTGGAACTACCTCTTAATTGTTGTTGTTCCCAGGTCTCCTTTGACCTAGGGTGATAGAACCTTGTTAGGATCCCAGTTATGAGTAAATAGTGAATCCCCCCTCTAAAAACACTGTGAACGTATAAAAATACATTTCTATAGTAAAACTATCAGCGATACATTTTTATATAGTTTCCAACAATACCAATTTAGAATTACCAACAATATAGAACAGGAAAGTCTGAAGAACGCCGAATCAACCAGCTGTTCAACACCCTTCAATTGGGCGACAGCAAGCCCACACAATTGTTACGTAAGATGAAAAATCTGCTAGGAAAGAATACAATGTCGGATTCACTGATCCGCAAGTTGTGGATGGACAAGTTGCCCACCCACACACCGCCCAAATCCTAGCAACTCTTCCAGAGGACTTAGACCTCATGAAAACGGCTGAAATAGCCGATAAAATAAATGAAGCTAAGGCCATTAATAGTATGCACGTCCCCGAACCACACGACACCCACGTCGACGACTTGATAAGCAAACTCCAACAACAACTCAAGTTGTCGATTCAGTTGGATCGTCTGAGTAGAGAACGTTCGACCCCAGCTCACAACTCATACAAGTCACGCCGACGTTCCAGATCTAACTCACATGAGAGGACGACTACTATTTGTTGGTATCACTGTAAATCCGGTCAGACAGCTAGGCATTGTACCAAGCCATGTAATTTTAAACCCCGGCTAGTATCTACACCTAACCAATAGGCGGGAAACGCCAGTCCCCAACAGCACATGAAGACGGCGTCTGCTGTTGGGGGAGATAAAATCAAACGTCTTTTCTACGTCCGAGACAGTAATTCTGACGAATTATTTTTGGTCGACACAGGCGCCCAAGTCGGTGTAATTCCGCCCAGACCAGGGTTTAAGACTGAGAAATCTTCATAGACTTTACGAGCGCAAAAGGTTCTCAAATCCAAACCAACCAACCTTTCCCGTATACTATCGGTTGTAATTACTACGGGAGATTTCGACAGTGACCTCGACCCGAGTGCCCGCAATCTATTTCCAACCGTCGACACAACCGGAACGTCTACACTTCGACTTCAACCGTCGACACAACCAACCCAATCATCGTCATCATCACCACCGAGTAGTACACAACAAACGTCTGAAACACCTGAACACCAAGTTACCAAGAAAAGTAGGAGGGTCCACTAGCCTTTACAATTCAAACAATATGTGACATGTTAAAAAAAATGTCTTCATCACTTTTTTCAAACTGTGGTGACTGCTATGTTTTTCCACGCCCACATTTTATTTGTCTGCTAATAAATCAATACTTTCTATAGGACAATTTAGCCATCGCAGTCGTTGCTTTGAATTTTTCGGTTTTGAACTTGCTTACTTGTTTCGTCAGTACAAATTTAGTGATTGGTCAAATTTTAACCAATCACATATTTTAGTGCAAAATCAACTTTTCCCGCGTTTTCGCTGGGAGCCTACATGTAGCCTTAAAAGAGGCAACTTTTTCATAAGCCGCCAGTAGAATCCACTAAATTTCACCTGTCAACACAAACCTATGACTTTACTCACAACATTTCAAACGCACACACAGACACAGAATTTTGTAATACATATATACATATCTCTCTGTGACTCAGCCAAATTCAATCAACCAGGACTGTTGATTTCTCTAACACAACACACTTTCTGATCAATTGTATTCTTGTATTATCTATTCTAACAGCAGGCTTGTTCTAACATTGATTCCTGAACATTTCTCTCTCACGAGAACTTTCTTTCGAACAATGAATTACAAATCAAGATACGGTAAAAGGGAAGCAACTTCTTTTCCCTTAATCTATACATTGAATACAAATTGTTGTATATTTTGTTCTTGTATGTTATTTCAATATATACTTGTTGATTAACATTTGGAGTTTCGTTGTTTTCTTGAATCATTAATACTACGAAAGATATATGTGTTAAAGACACGCCCATAACATATCTATCTATCGTTATTTGTAGAAACATTCTTAAAGAGGATCAAATGCAAATGATGATAATTCTTTTTTTCTGAGATAAAAATGAGTGAAATTATAAATTATAAATTGGTAAATGATAAATATTACATTGCATTAGTTTTAATTCATTTTTACAGTGTTGTGAATATAAAATTATTTTTGTAAATAAACAATCTAATAAATAAATAGTGTTTAATATTTTTGTTTTAAATTCTCAAAAATAAAAAAAAAATGTATAAATTCACTTTCATCATATGTTTAGGTTGTATTATTTTTCTAATCATCACTTTTTAAAACAAGAAATATAGCCGAGGAGTGAAGGTAGTTAAAATAATAGCGGTGTCAAGGGAAAACCGTCCGTTTGACACTCTCTCTTTTTGCGGGCGTGAAATTTCAAGTTTGTCGAAAAAAAACATTTTTTTTTTTTTGCTAGATCTGTTGACATGACATATGGAAGTAAAGAAAAAGTATTTTGGGGTCTGGATCCATGTCCTCAGTTGTGTTTCTCTTGCCCTGAACAAAGATTGATAGAAAACACCTGTCGCACAATGTGTTTTATTTTTAGAATATTTACTGAATATGACATTAAACTGTCGTCCTTGTTTAATTTTGAAAGAGAAGAAATATCGATTGAATTTCTCTATAGAAGATCAATATCTGTGGAAAATATCGAGTGGGTTTGTTTTTAGTTAATCCGTATAAACATTAATTTCCGCTTGGCTTGGCTGACTTAGAAATATTTATATATGATACTGTTGTGACCAAGTAATTGGTTAAGAAATAACAAAACAAGAGTTTGCAGATAAATAGTGTATTGAACAGTAAATACAACAGAAGTGTGTTACATGAGTTGGGAGTGTGTGTCAATTGACCAGCGTTCAGTCTATAACAGCTCCCACCACGAAGGATATATGTTGCACAAAGCCGATTTTAACGTGGGTCATCCGAGCCCGTAGGTTCGGCCAAAAAATCTCCACAGAACCCGCATAAACCGGTTCGGGGCTGTCTATCTCCCCGGACGAAACTTTGCCCTTCGACACAGTCTCGTCCGGGTTCCTCCCTGCCCAAGGCAGAGATTTCGACAGGAGCTGCGAACAATCACAGTCTCGTTTGAATAGTATATATCACTGTTAATATTTAACAGCCCCTCACAACGAGGGATGTATGTGATACAAGGCCGAGTTTACGGTGGGTTCTCCGAGCCCGTAGGCTCGGCCAAAAATATTTCCTTAGAACCCGCCCCGCATAAACGGGAACAGGACCTGTCTACCTCCACGGACGAAACTTTGCCCTTCGGCAAAGCCTCGTCCGGGTTTCTCTTTGGCAAGGAAGAAAGTTCGACAGTTGAACAGGCTATATTACTGTTAATATTTAACGGCCCCCACCACGAGGGATGTATGTGGCACAAGGCAGAGTTTATCGTAGGTTCTCCGAGCCCGTAGGCTCGGTCAAAAACATTCCCTTAGAAACCGCATAGCCGGGTTCAGGGCCTGTCTACCTCCCCGGAAGAAACTTTGCCCTGCGGCAAAGCCTCGATCGGGTTCCTCTCTGCTCAAGACAGAGAAATCGACAGTTGAACAGGCTATATCACTGTCCCCCCAACTCTTACTTACTTTCCTACTAATTTTATAGTAAGTGGAAGAGTCCACAATAGACTCATTAGAGGGAGGACACCACAACAGATACTATTGCTGCGTTTCAGTCAAACAGACAACTAGTCTTGCTTCAAAAATTATAATACATACTTTCTTTTTTATAACAAGTGCTGTGGGCACTTCGACGTGGTGTAATGGTTAACAAGCCTCTCTTGCTAGATCAATTACAACTGAATATTTTCGGCCATACTTTCGGCCTTGTGCCACATTTAAGCTACGCTTACGAAATTGCAGGGATTTTCGATGTGGTGTAATAGTTAGAAAACTTCTCTTGCTACAACTGAATAGTGTGTTCGATTCTCATTGGGTGCTCCACATTTCGGCCTTGTACTACATCTAAGCTACTCTTAGAAAATCATTATATTAGAGGTCGCTATTGGAAACATAGGCGTTACCATCAGCTTGTATTTAATCCATAGCGCGCACACCAAATCCCTCTCTCTCAGTTCAATTTCTCTTTTTTAGTCACTAACACAAGTAAAAATCTCGGCGTCCCAACTGAGGGGTTACATATAGACCTCCATCGGAAGTTAAACATTTTATATTCTTTCTAAAATATTTGTACATCCACTACACGTTATTTAAATATTTCATTTATAATATTTTATTCAACAAAGGACACAGAAGTTAGTGATGTTTATGAACAACTTTGTAATTATGACTGCGCTTCGAATTTAAATTTTATTCTTTCTACGAAGAAAATTTATTGCAATCTATTCACATTTATTTGGTTTGGTTCGTTTTACGGCATATCAGTCTCAATAGGGTTATTTAATGCCGACAACATTTCTATGGCTGGTAACATTTTTTTTTTCCAAAATGTATTGCTGGTAACATTTTTTCTAAAAAAGTATTACTGGTAGTAAAACCTATTTTTATAATTTCACAGTGTTTTGGCCACTTTTTGATGGGGGGTATCTATTTGCCCATAGCTGGAACCCTGACAGGTGCTACTACCCTGGGTCAGGGTGGACCTGGGGACACCAGCAATTAAGAAGGGTTCCACGCTCCTCAAAACCTCCTGATCAAAGGTCTTACTATGGATGTAGTTTATCGTCATACCAAGGACGCGGATGTAGTTTATCGTCATACCCAGGACGCGGATTTAGTTTATCGTCATACCCAGGACGCGGATGTAGTTTATCGTCATACCCAGGACGCGGATGTAGTTTATCGTCATATCCAAGACGGTTCACATTTGAGCAACAAAGATTTTTTCAGGAAAATTGGAAGGGAAAGAATATTTTTGCTTTTGATCAGGAAGAGACTCTGTTTATATTTCTGAGATGAGGTATTATGTACACTATTTACATTATTCGGACTATTGTCCTCAATTTTGTCGCCATATTTATTACAACGTTTTGACCGTTGTACGCTCCGGCCTTCCTCAGGTGGTTGGAATGTCGAACTGAACCCTTTATTTCGCTTACTGGGGTAGACTGTTCTAGTTCCACGTACCATGTTTAATTGATGTCAGTTATCAGTTATCTCCTGTTAATTCCCCTCTTCAAGATTTCCACCGCCTTAACCAGGTATTGAACTCACACACTTTGGGCCCTGTCACTGGATCTAAGTAACGCCTATATCTACTGTGCCATGTGTCCTCAAGGACACATGACACAGTGGATAAAGTGTGAGTTCAATACCTAAGAATGGCGGTGGAAATTTGGAAATCTATAAAGGAAACTTTATTATACACATTTAATATTGGTATGACATCCATTAGACACGGCGCGTGGAACTAGAACAGAATACCCCAGTGAGCAAAATAGTGTTAAGTTCGACATTCCAACCACCTGAAGAAGGCCGGATTTAACAACGGCCGAAAGTTTTAATAAATATGGCGACAAAGATGATGACAATTTGAATAAAATCTGAGGACCCTCAGGACGGACCCTTGTTAAATCTGTCAATTTATTCCGTGCCCCTAACGCATACGCGGGTCGGAATATCTTATTCTTAACTAACTAAAACTTCAACATGTCGATATTACACGTTTCCAAGACCCATCCTTGTCTTGATGTAACCAGCATGTTGAACCCTTCTCCGTTTTCAACTAGAAAATGTCGAGTTTCTACGACACCGTCGTCAATATTTATTTTTCCAGAACAACTTCTCGTCTTGATGCGAACAACTTTCGAACTTTCCTCTATTCACTACCAGAGTTCTACAACACGGTCGCCCTCACTCCTTTCCAAGACTAAATTCCTCGTCTTGATGCAACGACTCTGAATTCTCCTCAAATGAAAGTTGATAATCTGTTCATACTTCTTTGAACCAGCACTTTAAAAATATTACATTACACTCACACTATCAAACCTCACAGTGAGTACTTTTCCTATTTGTGTACACATACACCTTTCGTTTAACAAGTCATTTTTCCAGAACTTTCTTTCTGATGAAACTTTTTCCCGCCTTAGCCATCTTGGTTTTCTGTTTTGGCGCGGAACACAGACATTCCTTTAGTGACTACTTGTCACGACTTTTTTCATTAATTTCTAAGATCCAGTAACTTTACTGATCGTCTTTCATATACGTTTTTCAACCTGACGCATTTTGTCATTTAATCCAGGCTATCTACTTGTATTATTTTTATGCACTTGTTGAATAACCCTTTTTCCTCACTAAGATCACTCACTCAATATTTTTACTTTGCTTGTAGATTCGTAGTTTTGTGTAGTGTCTGGCACAAGGCCACTTTTTAATAACCCAGCACTGCACGCTACCGGGTCTGCAACAAAACAAATCCCCTCATGCTGCATTTCTGAGCAATAGGAAGGCAAAAACGGCGAAAAATGAAAAAAAAAATGCAAGTTTTTAGGTTTTTTTTTTCTCATTGACACGAGTGTGAGGGGACATTCTTCCCGCTTCACGCTTTTCTGCCAACCATGATGTTCAAAAAATTAAATGTTACATCGGCGTCATTTTCTTTCTTCTTGAACCTGTTCTTTTTATTATCCTTACTACTCAGTAACGTTTTCTCAGCATCCTTCACTCTCGGTAACCCTTTGAGTTTTAGTGGCTTTATCGCCTTGCTTGAGGTGAAATGATTAAAAGCAAAAACAAAACAAGGAAAAAAGAACAATTCAAATGCAGTGTTCGTAATCTTGTTTTTTGTTTTTTTTCCTGAGTTAGGACACAAAATATTGTCACCAGTGCAACCAGTGAAATGCACGACTATTTTTCAAGGCAGACAGTTTTTCCTTATTAACATATATTATTTACATTCCGACTAATATTCTCATCTTCGTTGTTGTTATTGTGCTTTCCGGCGTCCTTTCGGTGCTTGTCAATCAGGGTCACCTTCAGGCAATTTCGAACTGAACCCTTTATTTAATCTACGGGGGTAGATTTTTCTCATCCCGTTATCCATTTTTTTTGGATATCTGTTTTGATTTTAGTACTGATCAATTCTTAACCGTTGACATGGACAACATAACGAGAACAGTTTGCTCCTGTAGATTAAATAAAGTGTCCAGTTCGTAATTACTTGGGGGTTACTAGGCTCGACGAGAAGAAAGATCGGAAGATATAACGGTCGAAACCGGGCACCGAAACGTGGTGTAATGGTTAGCAAACTAGTCTTGCTAGAATAATTACGACTGAGTTCGATCCTCACTGGGTGCTTCATACCTTCGGCCTTGTGCCACTTCTAAGCAGCGTTTAGAAAATCACTATAACTGTCGAAATGTTGTGATAATGACAACAAAGATAAGGATATTAGTCCGAATGTAAATCATAGAAAATAATGACATTTCCCCATTCCAGAGATTCAGATAAAAAGTTACTGCATAGTTGTTAAACTGACGCCGCACAATCTTCCTATCCTCACATTCACCCTTGCAACCAATAAGTTAGTCTTACCTTCAATTTTAGGCCAATGAGCTTATATTTACGCTTGTCTTTCGGTTGTAAGATATCTCCAAAATAATCTTGAATTGTAACTTCAATTTTGATCTTCTTCAATTCTGGACAAAGTCCTACAACAGAAACAATATCCACGTGTGATTTACATCGGGGGAAAAAAATTCTGATTGATACTTCTTAACTTCGTTCAATGTTATTTGTATTTACAGTTTTTTCAAAACCTTAATACTTTCCACATATGTGTGCTTCTCCTCAAATATATATCTAATCTACAACAACATATCCAACTGGACGGGATCAATGTTTCTTTTATAAGTCCTAAGATTACCACAGGTAGCGTATGCCCGAGGAAGGCCGGAGATTGTGCCAGTTGAAAGACAGTGATAAAAGCAAGAACGCTGGGGATTCTGGTAAGAAAGAAAATGGAAGAGTAATCATCATGAGTTTCATAATAAATTAGGATCGCTGGGGAGCCACATATACTGCAACAGTAGAAGTGGTGAGTATGTTTAGGGCTGGGGTACCCAAACCTTTTAGAATGTCGACCCTTTCATCGAATCATTGACACCTCAACAATCCATGGGTGTACATAAAAATATTAGTAATAATTATTATTTTTATTTAAAGGTCTAAACTCTCTGCCATTTTCTTTCATTATTGTTTCTCAATATCTATTTTTGTCATTTGTTTTTCAATTTCTATTTCTCTTCCGATACAAGATGTGTTTGTTTAAACAAAACATTAAGGAGAAAAAATTCGTAAATAATAAAGGTGAAAATAAACACGTTAAAAATAAATTAATGTATGGAAAAAGATCATGCATCAGCAAAATAAAAATTGAATCATATCATTATAACTTATCACCATGTACTACTTGTTTTTTTTTATCTATAACACTGGTCAACAAAAAAGAAATTTTGAAATGGTGTCGAGAAAACAAACATCTTTTTTAGTTAATTTGAGGGCGCTGAATTTGAAAATAGCCTTACTTGCTTAGCTACCGTTTTTGCTGTACAAAAATGTCTCATTTTTGAAAAAAAAAAGAAGCATTTTTTCATTTGTTTTCTGTTTATATGATATTGGCCGATGGCAATATTTCTCAAAATAAAATCATAGAAACCTCTCAATTCTTATTTAAACAAACAAATATTTGTCTGCTTATTGAGAAATACTAATTTTGCAATAACAATCCGACCCTAAGTCTTTAAAAATAACAAGATTGAATATACCAAGACCAACAAGTATTTTCATCGAATCATTTAATAAACTAACAGCAGAAATAAAACCTTTGTGAACATAAGAACTATGGTAAAAGTTTTCTTTTTCTTGATTGTCATGTTCAATGTTATTTAATTCTTTTTTGATAGTCCAGCAGTATCATGTACAATTAGGTGCATTCAATTGGGATGTCTTTAGTTGGAGTTTCTTTCCAACTGTGAAAACAAAATGCTCTCAATGTGTTTGGTTTCCTTCCGTAGTGAAGGGATAAAGTGATCAGATAAATTTATGATATCAAAAAAATTTTAATGTTACATTTTTTGATGTCACCTTAATCAGGTTTACTAAAGTATATTACTGATAAAATTTATCAGTTAATTTGAATTTTGGCGATAAAATGGAAAAATTCGGTACTTCTATTTTAAAAATCAAAAAAACCCTTTTTTCTTATAAAAATAGTTTATTTCATGGCTGGCATAAATTGCTCGGCCTATCTGAAAATAGATAGGATTCCACGACCTTTATTAACTACATTTTGAATTCAGCCAAGATCATAAATTTATATTTTTTCCAAAAACGGGTAATTTCAGTACAGCAAAAATGGTAGCTCACCATGAAAAAATAAGGTAATTTTCGAAATCAGTACCACCAATTTAGCTAAAAAAATTGTTTTGTTTCTTGGCACCAAAAGTTGTGTTGACTAGTTTTTAATAAAGGTGATAATAAACACGTTAACATAAATTAATGTATATTTTTATTGAATTGGTTGAAATCTTTAATAGGAAGGATATATTTGATGAGCAGTAGTAAGGGCATTGGTATTTGGTTAGAAATTGGTGAGTTTTAGTCATAAGTCACTATGCTCTTTAAGGTTTCCTCTGTTCTTTTGCTTAATTAGAATTGTATTTGTGTGACTAAAACCAGTTTCAATCATATATGAAGTTGGGAATACAAGTAAAAATGGTTCAACTGCTGTATTAATCTAGGGGTATGTAGTAGTAGTAGTAGTAGCATTTACATTATTCTAACAGTTACTGAAACTTTTACTTTTGAACAATAACTTAATTTCAAGATCCATACACATCAATGAATTCATCTTGTAAATAAGATTCAGTGTCTGAATTTTCTATTTCCAAATCAGGTATTTATCAATTCATTTTTGACCTTCCAGGCATTTATCAACCCCACTGGATAGTCCCATCAATCTCCAGGGATTAAAATAAAAGAAAAACAAAAGAAGAACGTCATAAATAAACTTCAATAATAATAAGAAGAATAAGAATAATAATGAGAAAAGAATAACAATATGAAGAAGAATAACGAGAAAATAATAATAATATGAGGAAGATTAACAAGAAGAAAATAATAATAATAATAATAATAATAATAATAATAATAATAATACTCTACATGGATGATCTCAAACTCTTTGCCAAAGACGACAATGAGTTGAAAGGCCTCCTCAATATTGTAAAATACTTCAGTGACGACATAGGTATGGACTTCGGATTAGATAAATGTGCAAAAGTAACTTTTAAGAAAGGTAGAATTACAGAAACACCCTTAATAGATTTAGATTTTGTCACAAAGGTTAGGGAACTGGAGCATGGTGAAGCTTATAAGTACCTAGGAATGAACGAAGGAGATGGCATACAACCCCCCCAAATGAAGGAAAAAAATAAGAAAAGAGTACTACAGGCGTGTACGTCTGGTACTAAATACTGAGCTAAACTCAAAAAACGGGATATCAGCCATAAACACATTGGCTGTCCCTGTGGTGCAATACAGCTTTAATGTCCTTAACTGGACCACAGCTGAAATTAAGCGAATGGATGCCAAAACGAGAAAGCTTCTCACTTGCTATCGCATGCATCATCCCAAAGCTGATGTCGATCGTCTGTATGTGCCCAGATCTGAAGGAGAGGATTAGTTCAACTAGAACTGTCCTACAAAACTACAACAATTGGCCTCCAAAGACATTTGGAAACTACAGAAGACTGGATGATAGTATGCGTCAAGGAACATGAAAGTAGTAAGCGTCTTTACTCCGTAGTGAAAGAAGCCAACAAATTCAAAATGGAGTTTCAAATGGGCGTAGAGATGCAACTACAGCACAATACACCGGCTGAAACTGCAAAATACCTAAAAAAAGACAGCAAAGACGAATGCAACCGACCAGCTACAGAAGCGATGGCAAGATAAACCGCTTCATGACCAATACTCTGCCCGTACCAAACAAGCTGACGTAGACAAAACCCGTACCCATCAGTGGCTACGTAGTGCAGGGTTGAAAGCGGAAACTGAAGGTTTTATCCTTGCTGCGCAGGACCAATGCTTGCGAACTTGGAATTATCAAGCACATATACTAAAATATTGTGTCAGCCCAAAATGCAGATTCTGTGATAAATATCCAGAAACGATTGATCATCTTGTATCAGGTTGTACGGTGTTGGCACCACTGAATATAAAACCCGACATGACAGGGTGGGCCAATATCTGCACTGGAAAATCTGCAACTTCTACGGGAAGGAAACTGAAAGAAACTGGTATGAACACCCCAGACCCGGTTACGGAGATAGGACCTGTTACAATTCTATGGGACTACACAATACACACTGACAGAACAATCAAGGCCAACCGCCCAGATATTGTTATTAAAGACCACAAACAAAACGATGCCTCCTTATTGATATGACAGTCCCTGCTGACTGCAATGTATCTTTGAAGATATTCAAAAAGTTGTCAAAGTACAAGGACCTTGAAATAGAAATCTCGAAAATGTGGCATATGGGAACATCAACAATTCCTGTTGTAGTTGGAGCCCTAGAACTGGTTGGAAAAGATTGCAGTAGACTAATTGAAGGGATTCCTGGAAGTCCATGCCTCAAGGAGATACAAAAAATTGTTCTGACAAATACAGCCCACACCTTACACCTTACGAAGGGCTTTATCTATGTAATTTAATTCTTTTTTTTTTTTTTTTTTGTCAGTGGAAAGTGTCATGACGCCATTTCTAACCTTAGGTCCCTGGGCGGGACCCGGAAAGAAATGTGTAAACGACAGAAATCAAAGAAAATAAAAATAATAATAATAACGAGAAAATAAAAAAATATTACATTCAGCATTGCTTTTAATCTGAACAAAATGATGATCAAATACTGGGAAACAAAAAGCTTTTTTTTTAACAGTTCATCCTAGATCCGAACTGCTGTGTATGAATAATGTGCATACAGCTTACTTGGCACCAAATTGTATATCCAATCCTAATACCAATTAACTCATGAAATATATTTTAGATTTGGTAAATTCTGGCAGTCCTGTAGAAACTGAATATCAAATAAACCTAAGTTTGGATATGGTAAGAGAGTTTTTCTGTCTCACTTTCTCCATCTTCCTTCAAAATCCGGATAAACAGTAAAATTGTAAAAAAAGCGATTTTACTCACTAGCGAACTCAGGAATAATTTTGGGGTCGACAGCCGTATGGATAAAGTACAGTTCCTGCAAATTCTGGAAACCACTGGTACACATATTTTCAACAGAGCTTTGAATGAGTTTATTGACAAAATTATACAATTCCAAACACTCAAGGTTTTGGCACTTTTCAGCTGGAAATACAAAAGGAAATAATTAGTCTACTGTATCAAACTTTTATAGACGATATAAATGTCGAACTACGGCTTCCTGTACATCTAGTCATTCGTGAATGATGCAACAAGAAGCAAGTTGCATATTAGGGAAAATAACATGTTCGGGAACGCAAAGAATAAATGACAGAAAGTAAGATTTGCTAGTTTAAATCTTCATATAATTTTATATAATAGAAAATGAATTGAAAAGAAGACTCTTAGCAGAAGTGAGGAACGAATTCCGCCCGTTCTGAGTAAAACGATGAATTACGCCCGACAGCAAAACCTCTGATCAGGAGGTTTTGAGGAGCGTGGAACCACCTCTTAATTGCTGGTGTTCCCAGGTCCACCCTGATCCGGTGTGTAGCACCTGTTAGGGTCCCAGCGATGGGCAAATAGTTAACACCCACACTGGGGTCAAAACACTATGAATGTGTAAAAATAGGTTTTAATATCAGAAATACTTTTTTTGTAAAAAAATTATTACCAGCAATAAATTTTTGAAGAAAAAATTATTACCGGCAATATATTATTACCAGCAATACATTTTTGAAAAAAAAATTACCAGCAATATATTTTTGAAAAAGAATATTACCAGCAATACATTTTTGAAAAAAATACCAGCAATACATTTTTAAAAAAAAATATTACCAGCAATACATTTTTGGAAAAAAAAATATTACCAGCAAATCATTTTGCGAATAAAAAAAAATATTACCAGCAATACAGTTTTGAAAAAAAAATACATATTACGGGAATATATTTTTGGGAAAAAAATTACCAGCAATACATTTTTAATAAAAAAATATTGCCACCAATACATTTTTGAATTAAAAAATATTACTAGCAATACATTTTTAATAAAAAAAATATTACCAGCAATACATTTTTGAATTAAAAAAATATTACCAGCAATACAGTTTTGAAAAAAAAATTACCAGCGATATATTTCTGGGAAAACATATTACCAGCAATACATTTTTAATAAAAAATATTACCATTAATACATTTTTGAATTAAAAAAAATATTACCTGCAATACATTTTTGAAGAAAAAAAACGAAAACAAAATATTACCAGCAATAAAAATGTCGGCATTAAATAACCCATTGAGGTGGATATGCCGTAAAACAAAATAAACCAAACCAATCTAAACCAAAGAATACATATTCTATTCATACGAATCTATCCTAAAAATGTTTTCGGCATTAAACCAAACCAAAATAAACCAAAGAAACATATTCTATTCATACGAATCTATCCATTGAGGTTGATATGCCGTTAAACAAAATAAACCAAACCAATCTAAACCAAAGAATACATATTCTATTCATACGAATCTATCCTAAAAATGTTGTCGGCATTAAATAACCCATTGAGGTTGATATGCCGTAAAACAAAATAAACCAAACCAATCTAAACCAAAGAATACATATTCTATTCATACGAATCTATCCTAAAAATGTTTTCGGCATTAAATAACCCATTGAGGTTGATATGCCGTTAAACAAAATAAACCAAACCAATCTAAACCAAAGAATACATATTCTATTCATACGAATCTATCCTAAAAATGTTGTTGGCATTAAATAACCCATTGAGGTTGATATGCCGTTAAACAAAATAAACCAAACCAATCTAAACCAAAGAATACATATTCTATTCATACGAATCTATCCTAAAAATGTTGTCGGCATTAAATAACCCATTGAGGTTGATATACCGTAAAACAAAATAAACCAAACTGAATTCCGCAATCTCAATCCATAAAGTAGAGGGAAATATATGAATAAATATAATCAGTAGCTCAAGTGCCAATTCTTTTATGGCCTAATTTTACCCTAACTCGTTCATTCAAATATGTTACTACTTATATTATTTACATTGTTCGGACTATTGTTCCCGTCTTTATTGTCCTATTCACGACGTTTCAGCCGTTGTACGTTCCGGCCTACTTTAGGTGATATACATCCTTGTGCAAATTAATTGAAACAACCGCTTTAGTTTTCTTTCTTTCACCCACTTGAGTGACAGGGTGTAATCGATTTTTATTTTTTTCTCAGATTAGGTAATTTATAGAGGTGTGCAGTAATATAAATTTATTTTCGGGTTGTATGATGAAATTTGTTTGGCCTTGAGAAATATTGCGTCATCCGTGATCACATCAGATTTTTATCACGCCTAGACACTATTGTCTCGTCTGACGATTAGTTGTCCTACGACCATTGTCTGCGATGGACGTTACTCCATGGAAGCGTACAGAAATTGGAACGCTGCAGGAATACACTAGCAAGCCTTAGCGGTGAGCAAATCAAAGTACAATAGACTGGCCCGGAAACTCTCCTGATTTAAATCCAATTGAGAATCTGTGGTCAGTCTACAAGGAAATTTTTTGTGGATTGGACATACGAAGTACTAACATGTGCATTGGGTCATGTTTCATTGGGAAAATACGAAAAAAGTAAATAATAACGGAATTATTTGTTTTGTTTCAATTAATTTGCACAAGGGTGTAGGTTCGAATTTCATTCACATGGGTAGATTGTTCTAGTTCCACGTTCCATGCCTATTTTGAATATCTCAGTTTCAGTTATTTCCTTTAGTAACTCGAATCTCCAAACATTTTGAAGTCAGTTCACTAGATTACTTCAACCAACGCTTTTATCCACTGAGGCATGTAAACAATAGCCCAAATAATGTAAATAGGGTAAATAGTTACAATACCTCATCTCAGAAATATAGATATCAAATATGTTATCACTCTCTTTGTATTTCTTCAGCTTTTTCACCTTCAAAGTCACAGATCTTTGCTCATTAAAAAGAAAGTGAAGCCCCACGCGCCATGTCCTTTATTTTGTATTTTTACTCAAAAAAAACACAAGATAACCGCTTATTAGGTCCTCTTCAAGTTTAAATAGCAGAATCGTTCCCCTTTGCTGTGTGACGCACCACAGGCCTGTTGCATTCTTCGTCTCAGACAAAATGGACAAAATAATAATAACGCAATTAAAAGAATCATTACAGAACTTGTATCCGTTTGCAGTTTGGTGTAATATTAATCTATTATTAATGTCTTTCTGTTTGTTTCGTCCATCACCTCTTTTGTTTGAAAACCATGGTACATTCAAGTTTTAATATTGATATAGTCAACCCTTATTTATTTTTTATACTAGGTTTCGCAGACAATGATGAAATATTTTCTTGTTATTTCATCAAGGTTTCTGTCTAAAGAAAACGAGAACAGGAATTCATTAAATAAGGGTTCGCAGGAAACGATGAAATATTCGGTAGTTATTTTATCAAAGATTCTGTCTCAAAAACATGAGCAGTCGTTCCTTTAAGTATTTGCAGTGATTAAACATTCTCTTGTTATTTGCTTACGGTTCCAGCTTAAAGAAAAATTCAGAAGCGGTTCCTTAAATAACGGAAATCACCAAGGTTTCTGTTTAAAAAAACAAAAACAAAACAAAACAAAACAAAACAGGAGCAGCTGTTCTTTAAATAAGGCGATAAAATGCATATTATTCTTACCAATTATGAGTAGGCCAACGTCATCTATACCAGCTCCACCGAGACTGATAAATTTCAAATGAGGGTAATTCTTTGCGATGAGATACGCACATTTGTTATTGAAGCGTTCCTGTTGGGGAGACCTGCAAAAAGGATTTACGATTAAGCAAAGATCATCAACATTCCATATGATTTTCAGACTAATGTCTTTATCTTTGTTATTTTTAGCATTATCTACCTGTCGCCATATTCTACAGCTTTTCTTATATTAATCGAAATTCCGAGATTAATTTTTCATGAATCCATGTTTTTTTTCTTATTTATTAGACTATTGTTTCTCTCTAAATACTTTTTTTTACCATATTTCATTCGATGAATGCTTTGGCCTTTCAATATCGTCTGAAAACTTGAGACGAAGTATTTTTATAATTCCATATATAATTTGATCTATGATAGCCCTATTGGAACACATTTATTTACCGTGACTCTTCAAGACGTGAGCTATCATGACTCCACAACTTCTTATTTTTCGTAGGCCTATGTAATGTTTGTCCCTTTACTATCACTCTTAATTATTATCCTACCATCCATTTATTTACACAAGGTTGTTAGATAGGTCACTCGCTGCTTCTCTCTGCTCCTCTTTCCTTAAACATGTCCCGTGAATATTAAATCCATCAAGCCTTGCCTTTGATCTTAGTCTAAAGTATGTTTTATATGACCGACAGTAAAGCCTATGAAGTAGGAACTTCAACGCGGGCACCCACTTGATCAAAAGGGAATAGAATGAATAGATGAATAAATGGACATTTTTGAGAACAGATACCACTTAGTCGGAAGTTAGTAAGTTCCGCTCGCAAATGTATGTAAACTGTGATGCAATTGAAAGTAGTTCCGGTACAGCCCGTTGACGGGGTGCAGGCTGGCCGTTCGTGAGAATTCCGATGCTGTTGCCAGAGAGTTGTTTCAAGCTTCCTGTGGGCCAGTTGCGACTGATAGGCAAAACTGGAGGAGGAGGTCGTCCACGTTGGCCAAAGTGACGAATTTATCTGTTAGTCTATCGTGATAGCATAAGTCATCCCAAGTGTTACCAACCTACTCTACAGACTGCAAATGAATTTCCTAAATAGACAATGAAATATATGAGAAACAGGGCTCGTGTTTCTCAATTCACGCCAAAGACTGGGTGAGAGGGATCCGTTGTATGCTTACAGAAATCTGTAACTGAGAGTTGAGGTTTTTGTTTAATATTGTAGTTCAGAGAGTCAAGTTCGAATTCCAGTCGGGTTAGTTACATTCACTTACGTACAGAAAAAAGGTATGAATCCACCTCCCCCTTCAGCTATGGGTTAAATAGTAAGACATGTATCTGAAAAAATATTATTGTTATTCTAAAAAATGTTAATGTAATCTTCACTCTCAAAAAATAAATTATTCTTACAATTCAGAATGTTTCGCATTAAATAACCCACGAAAGGTTTGTAAACCGTAAAAAACAAATCCGACAAAAACATTAGTAATGTCGCTGCCGCAGCAAAATTTAAAGTCAACCCTTTTTCAAGGCGAAGTTGATGAAAAAAGTCTATAAAAATTGAGGTATTCCTTTTCCAACGACGGCCATTTTGCTAAGATTGCCGGTACATAATGCATGGCCTCCTCTTCAGAAAATGACCTGTGTATAGAGCGATCCCCTATTTTTTGCGTAAAAAAACTGTTAATAAAAACCCGCATTATACTCGAGAATATACGGTAACGATAAAAAAAAACAATTGAGGTTAAAATGAAAGAAATGGTGGTGATAAAGTTTTTAATCTCTCTATATAAAACAGAGGATGTCTGTGTGTCTGTCTGTGGGATACCTTTTCACTCGAGATCCATTCAACCGATTTTGAGTAAACTTGGCATATCCATTGTACAGTGTAAGAGTAGGTTCTTAGCGTAAAAAGTCGATAATTTTAAAAAAAGGCAATAATCGATAAAGCCGATCAAAAATCGATGAATTAAACATTTTCCCTCCGATTTCGTTCAAACTCGCTATGTAGGTTACTTACATCACGAGCTCAATATCTCATTTTTATCTCTATCCCACTGCGTTTAGCGAAAAAGAGCGATAAACGAAAAATCGATTTTTGTTGAAATCGATTTTAACACAAATTTTAAACTTAAAGCAATCTAATACAAACTTCACTCAATTGTAGCCAACAATAAGTTGATTGTTTAACAGTCATTTAACTTGATAATTGAGTCTACCCATATAGTTAAAACCCGCGTAAATAGCGAAAAATGGCAATTTTTCCTGTTTTTTTCTCTTATTTTTCGTTGTTCTTTCAACCAATTTTACATCAAACTTAACAATCACTTTATAAATGTATCCTCTTTTACATTCCTGGTATCACACTGACAATTTGAATTTCAAAAACTCCAACATAATTGTGGTCTGAAGTGGGTCTTCATGTTGCCTGTTTTACCCCTTCATCTCCTCGGCTAAATTCGATTGAATAAATATAGACTACTTCTGTTATATCAGTAACTGCATTAAATCAAAATGTTTTTAATGAAAGTATTTTAAATTAATTGAAAAAGATAGACTGTTACATCTAAATATGATGCTGTTTTTGCTACATTTTAATTGAACGCTTTTTCTGATCGACCACCTGGCTATGACTGCTAATATTTGACTATGCTTTATCTAATAAGTTCAAGATAATTATTTAATATTCAAGTATTTTGTATGGTCAGCATTCAACTTCAACTTATCTTTAAAATAATTGTTTGTTTTATAACTAGAGTAAGTTTACCTTTTTACTTACGACTACACAGTGAATAAAAAATAGTAGGTGACTAAAAAAGTTGATACCCAACCGAATCGGACGCCACAAAAAAGCTGATGGTTTTATTTTTAAATACCTTGGATTGTCAGGGGATAGACTGAGATATGTGATGTCACGGCAGCCGCTGGCCAACGCCCAAAGAACTTCGGCTGATGGTGGATGGGCGACGCTTCGATAAGTCAGGCTTCGTAGTACACGAGCGTAGCAAGACACCAACCAAAGGCACCTGGAATATTCAGAAAAATAAAAAACAGTGACGTACACTAAATGTTCGTCTGAATTACATTTTTATATAATTTTAAGTTATATTTTTCTTTCCATCCCTCCCAATGATTTTTAAAAAAATTGAATAATGATCGATAAAACGAAGAGACATCCTACTTTTTGTTTTTGGACAAATGAATAGCGGTTTGTAGGAATGTAGGGACGTGTACCGACCGGTCAGTGACGCCAGTTTGTAGAGTGACGAACTTCATTTGCTATTCAGCACGCGCAGAGGCAAGACGTGTCTGTCCACGCCAGTGGCTATGTTGACAACAGAGAAGCAAGACTTGACTGCCCATGGCAGAGGAAATCACATGGTATCAGTAGGTACATAAAAATGCCACTGTTTTTTCCTATATATATATATATATATATATATATATATATATATATATATAAGACTCTCTTGTTTCCCCTTTCACACCGCTTGTTATATTCATATATTATAATTTATTTGCATGGGACAAATAGCAACAGGGACATGTGTATATTTGTATATATTTTTTGTATGACATAGCGATTCAAGTTTCAATTACAGTCGAGTTCGAGTATTTATGAATCCACATTTTCGCCCCATCTATGGGTCAATCAGTAGGACATGTTACAGTAAATCATTATAATCACAAAAAATTCTCATAATCTAAAAATATTTTCTGGCTTTAAATAACATGCCGGTTGATAAGGTTGATAAGCCGTAAAAAAACAAATAAAACAATCTATTGAACTATGGAGAAGCGTTAGGCTAAATGTCTTAACAAGGAAAGAGATTACGCTATATTGAAGAAATACAGTATTTAATAATTTTTCTTTCCGGAATTGTTGAAGCTTACATGACGCGAGAGACACTTGGTAAAGGTCGGAGAGTAGAGTGGCTGAAACGTGATGAAAACAAGAAACATACGATGGTGGTCGGAAAGTTCACAGCCTTACTATGATGAAATAATACCAGAGTGGTGAAATCTAGCATGAATTAATTTCAACTCTTCTTATTAATAGCGACATTGTTTCTTTCAATGTAAACTAACATCTGGCTGTTGAAAGACATCAAAATAACTAGTAGCGGCTTCTCTTGAAAATGAACAAAATTTGGTATCGTGGTGCTATCAAGTACCTACAGAAAATGGGTTTAGCCCCCAAAGACATTTATGCTGACACGGTTGCTACATTAGGAGATGATGCTCCAGCTTTATCAACAGTGCAAAAGTAGGTAACTGAGTTTAGGAGGGGATAGGAGAGTCTTGCAGATGACCCAAGGTCTGCATATCCTGCAAATGCCAACACCGAACAAAACATTGACCGTGTTCACCATATGATGAATGGATGACAGGCGATTGACTATAAATCACATAACAAATGCTATTAGCATATCCGGTGAGAGAGATGAGAATATTCTGCGCAATGAACTTGGCACGACGACGGTTTCTGGTCGGTGGGTGCCACCTCTTCTGACCCCTGATCAAAAGCTCACCAGGCTGATCAGATCACGGGAAAATATGAGGGATCCAGCTTGATCGTTTCCTAACCCACGGTGATAGACACAGGTTTTGGGGTTACAAAAGGCATTGTGTTTATTGACTATCTGCAAAAGGGCCACACTATCAGTAGAGAGAGTATTATGCCAACTTGCTGAGTCAGTTACGAAAGGCTATCAGTACCAAGCGTCCAGGAAAACTGACGAAAAGGGTCTTGTTTCATCAGGACAATGTTCCAGTACACAGGTCCTTTGTTTTCAATGACTGTTAGTCGTGACTGTGATTTTGAACTGGGTCACCCCCCCCCCTTATTCTCCTGATTTAGCCGCAACATGTAAAACACTTGCCATATTTGTTGTTAATGACCTTTTTGACCAACAGGATGAAAACTTCTTCACCAATTTAATCCAAGTCTGCAGCACCGATGGAAGAAGGATGCAGACCGCACCGGGGGTTGGCTATACTGAAAAATAAACCTCATTTAGTCACATTCCATGTGAGTATATTGCTCAGCCAATGAACATTTCAGCCGACCCTCGTAAGAAAATTTACCTGGATTAATTATTATTCATAGTAATTATTATAATAATTCGACAGAGCCTGTTTTTATTTAATGCGGAAATGTAAGTATTTTGTACCTATTTTTATATTTTTGCGGATGATAATGGTTTAGTGATGCACGTCTTACTAATTAACCCATAGCTAGGGGAAGAAGAGGTGGATTCATACATTCCGTAAGTGTATTTGTGCGTAAGTGAATATAACGAGCCCAACTGGAATTTGAACTCGCCTCTCCGATTAACAATTCTGAGCCATTATCCATTACACCACCAGTAAATCCAACCTTACGACACCTGTTATTCACAAGCGGTCAGTCATCTAAGTACTGACCAGGCTCCACGTTGCTTAACTTTGGTGATCGTACGGGAACCGATATTTCAAGAGCCTGTTTTTCGGGGTTATTTTCATTTTTTTCTGGTGTATAATTAGAAAAGGAAAGTAACACGTCATTTCTTGTTTTTTAGAACTTTGAAAAGAAAAAAATTTCTATGCTGATGCTTCTCGTACTTACCTTTCTGTTATGACGGGTCCGCAGTTGATGATTGTCAATTCATTAAGATTCCCTTCGGCTTTTATTAGAACCGATTCAAGACCAGGTTCCAAACTGGCACTGAAATATTTAAGATACAAGTTTGTATCTAACAAACAAGATATAAATTTGCTTGGTGGCTGATTCTGCTATGGGTCTGCCACTATAACCAGTAATCGTCGTTCACGCCTAGATAAGAGCTAAAATATTAATACAAGAAGTCTACATAGGCCACGAAAAGTACGAATCAAAGCCATGGTGGTTAAGAAAAATTATTTCTTTAACATCAGGAAGAGTGAGTTGAGATTTCTAGGGCACATAATGAGGAAAGTGGACTTGGAGAATTTGATATTCACAGTATGGACTGAAGGCAAGAGGGACAGTTGAAAACAACGCATAACCTGCCTGGTGAGTTTGATTGAATGGATGGCGGAACAGGGTTTAGGAGAGATAGTAAAATGACAAAATTTATTAAAAGCTATAAAGGACAAGAACTTGTGGAGTGTCATGATCGCCAACGACCTGAAGGGACACGGCACATAGAAGATGAATTAATAAGGAGCGATGAGGAAAGGAAAACATTCTGATATATAGAGCGAGCTTTAGTGTGAGAGAGTGACAAGCAGCCAATGTCTTCAGAAGCTGTGAGCATCTTTGGCCGATTCGTAAGCAAGGAAGGCTATACAGGGAAAAACTATTGCTGATGCTATGTGAATCGGTCTTAGGTGAACGATAAACAGAAAAATATTCGTAATATGGAATTACTAATTTATGGTATTTTCCGTGTCTAATATATTTTATGGTGATGAATTGAAAGACGCGATCTTGAGATGTTGAGTTTCAAGGTAAGTCAAAAGGTACTTTTTATTTCCAGTTTTATCTAAAAGGTAAATGACGCAGCCCCTCGAATCCGAGGGTGCCAGTCTACTAGGGTGTCTCTCTAATCCCCATTTCAGGCGCCGGATCAGGCACATTTGCGTTTGTTCAACACCCACAGAGCCCACTTGTGGTTTATACTGCAGCTATACTGAGCGGACCTTAGTTACAGTTTCTGGGAGAGAGCACGTTATCTAGCGTGATCAACAGTCTGAACAAGGCACACACAAACCCTCGGTCACGATGACTTGTGACTTCGTGCTAGGACAACCACCGACAGCTCCCAAGGGTTCCCGTCTATCTAATTTCACTCACAAGGCTTGTGTCAACTTCTGGTATGGTTTTCAGGCACTTTCCAAAATTGCCGCACGCAGGGATCACCTCTTCCAGACCAATAACATCAAGAAATCACCTTCCTGACAAATCGACCTTCCTGAGATTCGAACCCGGGTCTCAGAAAGCGAACCTTCTAACCACTCAGCCATGTATGTAAAAGCAACAATAAAGAAACAGTGAAATACAATAAACATAATAGTTGTGAAAATATTTAAGAACAATGATAACAACCTAGTAAAAAATAGTAATAAAATAACAATTGTGAAAATTCTCCATCGAATAAGCAACAATAATAAGATGGGTAAAAATAGTAATAAGATACATTATTCAGACTATTGTCCTCATCTTTGTCGCCATATTTATTACAACGTTTCGGCCGTTGCACGCTCCGGCCTTCTTCAGGTGGTTGGAATGTCGAACTGAACCCTTTATTTCGCTCACTGGGGTAGACTGTTCTAGTTCCACGTGCCATGTTTAATGGATGTCAGTTATCAATTATCTCCCGTTAATTTCCCTCTGAAAGTTCACCACTGGCTTAACCAGGTATTGAACTCGCACTCTTTGGGTCCTGTCACTGGATCTAACCAACGCCTTTATCCACTGTGCCATGTGTCCTCAAAGATGAAGACAATAGTCCGAATAATGTAAATAGTGTACATAATACCTCATCTCAGAAATATAGACAGATACTGAAAGGCCGAAACGTTGTAATAATATATGGCGACAAAGATGAGGACAATAGTCCGAATAATGTAAATAATGTACATAATACCTCATCTCAGAAATATAGACAGATAGTAATAACATAATAGTATCTATCTATATTTCTTAGATGTGGTATTGTAACTATTTACACTATTTACGTTTGTGGTACATTGTTCTAGTTCCAAATGTCATGCCTTTTCTGGATATCTCAGTTTCTATGTTTTTATTAATTGAAAGCTAAAGCATTAAATTTATTATTTACAGTAAGTAACATATTCTGGTGTCTTTCAGATAGAAATTATATAGACTGGAATGTCAAATATATGCTCGATTTTTGTTTAATTTTCTTAAAAGCAGCCATTTTCTTAAATTTTCTTAAATTTTAAGAAATTTGTAAACAAACAAAATTTTGAATTTAAACTTCTTCCTAAAATAAATTTATATATTTTTGACACGTTATTTGAGTAAAATTAGAAAATTTAAAGTTAAATTAATCTGATATGAAACAAACATTACTTACTTATAGCTTAAAAAATTTGTATCCAAACATTTTTTAACGATGTGTCTGAATTTTTTGCATGTCTTTCATCACGTTCGCAAATGACGAGGTGATGACAGACTCTATTGATGATCAAAATTGACAATTTCTTGGCGAACGCGGTTTTTCGTTTTTAACTAGTACTTTTTAAATATTAACATTTTTATTCAGCAATTATGTACTATTTATTTTTTTATTTCATAATTTCTTAATTAGACAATTGTTTAAACCCTAACCCTAACCCTTACTTTTAAAATTTGAAAAGAATTTCTGGAAACACGTTAACGATGTGAATCTGAACTGGACAGAGAAGAGAAATAACCAGACGACACAAATCACGTGACCTTTTTAAGGATTATGTCGCGTATACATTTCCATACATAGAAATTATGAACGTTTTTTCAATAAAAAATTTATTTTTAAAATTATTTTAAAAATATTCGCGTCAAACGACTGTTATGTGCTTTTCAAAGTTTGATTCGTAAATTTACATTTTCATTAACGTTATCATTGCATTACGTGCGTGAAAGAAATAAAGAATTTTAAACGATTTTTGAAGTATTAAGAAGTTAATGAAAAAAAATTAAAAAATGGGGAAAAAATTTGTAAAAAATACATTATTCATCGAAAAAATGTTATTTCTTCACAAAATAATGTCCTTAGTATAACGTATCTACAAAAACAGGTGGAATCTTTTCTAATTAAATAAATGTCATACTTTTTACATTTTTTTTTTACAATTCAAAGCAGATTTTCTATGAAACCGCGTAATGTTTTATAAAAAAAAAAACTGGTGATTTACTTTCTACAAAGAGTCCTGTTTATAACTAATAAAAAAAATCCCGTAATATATGTAAGTGGGTGGAAACAAGTTAAAAAAAATCTCTTTTTAACAAGATTTTCTGAAAAAAAAATTTCAAAATTAATTTCATTCAATTCTGAATAAGTCCTGAAAGTTTCATTAAGATCCAACAATTAATTGATTTTTGCAAGAATTTCCTAAATTAACGTGTGTTTTCCTCGGGAAAAGCGCAAAAAGGTTTGTTTTACAAACCTTTTTTTAGTCTTTTCGCGCTGTCGTAAAAAAAAAAAATTTTAACCAAAATTTTCTACGTGTTAGAAAGGAGTAAAAAATTTCAAAAAATATTTAAAAATAACTTTGGTCTTTCCTCTTCATAACAACATAAACATAATTTAAACAAAACTTTGTTTTCGTTGAATTATGGCCCTTTTTTCATCGGGATATGCCGCTTTTTTATGTGACCTAATGGAGGAACCTAAGAGGATGACAACAGCCTGAACAATGTAAATAGTGTAAATAGATAATAAAAGTGAAAAAGTTTTATTTAAACAGCAACCATAATAAGATGGAGTAAAACTAGTAATAATAATAATAATAACAATGATAGTGAAAAATAAAATGCTTCATTTAATACTTACACACACAGACGCACACACACACAATATTTACCGCATTTCTTGTTGATAAAATCGTTCACTTTCTCCTCGTCTTTTTGGCCTTCCTTGGATATCTGTCGTAAAATACGGGACACGGTTTATACAGATATTAAATAAAATTACACTGTAATTATCCATATAAAAATACATAATTTTTCAGCCACCGGCGATAGAAAAAATTAAAAGCGTCCATGTTGATTTTAGCTGAAAAAGATCCAGTTTAAGTGTACGCGCACTTTTAACGGAAACCTAAAATAAGCGTTTCAAATCTATTTTATACAACAAATCCAATTCCTGTGTCAAACGTATTATATATATATATATATATATATATACTATCTCACACCCCTAGCATGACTGAGTTTCATGCACAACGCAATCTTCAGGTGCAGAGTTCAAAAACGTAAAATATAAATATAATACTTCTCTATCTAAATATTTCTAGCAACTGAAAGATAGGGGACTTTCACCATCTATTAACTGGGAAAATGTTTCTAGGGCTAAGGCTTTTAATGGGAAATGCATCAATTGTTGTCCTTATTCTGTTGAAAAACTAGTTATTCTAAAAAACTTAGAAAACCCTAAATTATTGAATCAGTAGAGTGAATTAATAACTACTTGCAGACACAGAAATAAACACCTCCTTAAATACACGACACCAAATTAGCTCTTAAAACGTTTATTTATTCTTTTCTAGCTTTTTTCTACATTTTCTATTTTTCCAGTATATTATATGTCCCTTTTTACCGTTGTTTTATAAGTACCCCATTATTTTTCTGTTCCATTTTATTTTTCCATTTTATAATGTTTTAAGCTTAAAATTTAATTTTAATACTTATAATTTTCCTCTCTCTTATTTTTTCTTACTTTAACTTTAGTATTTTTTACTATTATTAAGGTTCAATATTAAAAATTTGTAACAGCGTCGTGATAAGCAGATACGCAAATGCATATGTGATTCAAACCGTAAAACAGTCATTTTGAACACTTCATCAGAAGATTCCGACGTACATGAAGCTCAGTCGTGCTAGAGGTGTGAGATAGTATGTACATATATATATATGCCGATTGGATAAATTACAGACTTTATGTCAGCTAATTTTTAATAAAATCTGTTCATACGCACGAATAATAAGGTTATATCAGACATGCCTAAAAGAGAATTTACTACCTAACTATCCGGGTTTGGTCTATTTTATATACATTAACACAGGCTCTAATTTGGGACCAGAGAAAATCTCTCTTATATCCGGGTTTCTCTTATATCCGGGTCTCTTATATCCGGGATACTATATATATATATATATATATATATATATATATACATACTTTAAATATCAGGAGGTCAGCTGAATCCGCTACCTTGGTTTCAATCTTAAGGTATCTTCAAGCGACTTTTATCAAATGACCTCTTAACGCTTGATTTAAAAAAAAAAAACTAATGAAAGCTGTATTATTATTGTCAAAATTAAAGAAACAAACGCACAACTTTGGGTGTAATAGAAAGGGAGGGGGGTAGAAGAAGAAGAAGAAGAAGAAGAAGAAGAAGAAGAAGAAGAAGAAGAAGAAAGGGTAGAGAAGAAAAGCAAGGATATTGTAAATGTTTCGGTTGGGGTGGGGGTGACTAATTTAAATGTACATTATTTTTTTATCCAGCCTCTCAGACGTGCTTAAAAGGAATTTTCTAATTTGTGAGCAAGGATATATATATATATATTAATAATATATAAAAAGTTAATGGTCAGAGTTGAATTAGACCAGGAAACAGTAGTATTAAAAATTGCTCAATACCCATATAAAAAGATAAACATTTACATGTAAAGTATAGAAAATTAGGAAATCACTCGATTCTGCTACATTGGTTTCAACCTTTTGTATTTTCAGGAGATTTCGGTCAATTGATTTCCTAAAGCTTTACTTTTTCTTAATTTAAAAAAATTATGAACGCTATATTTTTTTAAAATAAATAAATAATGAGATGTGGTAGTAGGTGAGGGGGGAGGAGCGGAAATCAAGTTGATTAGAAATGTATCGCTGGTGGATTAAATTATACATACTTTATTTTCATCCCGCTTCATATGAACTCAACTTTTTCGTATGTATATAACGGGTCATAATTTCCAATTTCTGATTCAAAAGTTTTTTGGGTCTGGAAATGTTATTACAGCTAATTTTTCTTATTGACAAAAGTTGCAGATATTGCTATGATTGTTGTAAGGTTTTACTTCTTTTAAATTTTTCAAGTTTGCAAACGGGTCTTTTCTATTTTTTCCTTTAATTTCCACACATGGTTGGCTAGTTTAGTAGAATTTCTAAGGCTTTCTAGCTTAAAAGATGACTTATGATTGTAACACCTGTTCTTAAAGTTATCCTCAGTACAGCCTATATATATTTTTCTGGACATTTATATCTATTACTTCTGCTTTGTAAATTATTGCTTCAGTTTTTCAAAATCCGTCTAATGGATATCTATTTTCATTTCTACAATTGCATATCTCCTTTTGAGTTCATATGAAGTGGGATGAAAAGAAAGTATGTATATTTCATACAGATTCCTCACCGATACATTTCCAATACAATTGATTTTCCACTCCTCCTCTTCCACCTACTACCACACCTCACGTCGTGCCCGTGTTCATATATATATTTATTTATTTGTTTATCTATTTTTTTTAAATATAGCATTCATAATTTTAAAAAAATAATATTTTATTAAAAAAATGAAGCGTTAGGAAATCAATTGAGCGAAATCGCCTGAAGATACCGAAAGATTGAAACCTAGGTAGCGGCTGATTTCCTATATATATATATATATATATATATATATATATATATATATATATATATATGAAAGCAGAGACTTTAGAAACCTCTGGTAATATTTTATTTCAAAACCGTTACTTCGGTTTGGTCTCATCAGACCAAAGGCAGTTTTAACAATAAATGGATTAAAAATTTTGCCAGGCACAAAACGAAATATTTCAACATAAATTGTTTCAAGATATAGACTCAAAATGGAGGAAAGGAAAAAGAAAGAAAGAGAAAGGAGGGAGAAAAAGAGAGATATATCTCTTCAGAGAGTTATATTGAAAAGGAAACCGTAGTCGATGAGAGTTGACTGGTTGACCTATTCCACCTGATGTGAGAAGTGAAATAGAGAGGGTATCTTCAAAGCGTGTTAATAATGTAGAAAATATAAATAGTTCCCACAATAACCTCCTCCTAAAAAAATTCATGGCAGTGAATCACAGGGAAATAAACCTCCTTGTAATTGTAGGGTTAAAGCTGACTGTCCAGTTCGAGGGATTTGTACTTCGGAAAATGTGGTATATGAAGCCACTATTTTTCCGAAGGAAAATATAAACCAGAAAAAGGTTTATATAGGAATTTCAGCGGGATGTTGCAAACAATTTTTTTTATAATCACCCCGGCATTCCTTTAACAACAAATCTTTAAAACAAAAAACAGCCCTATCAAAATATTATTGGGATCTCATTGATAGAGGCTTCACCCCACAATTGAAATGGAAGATCATCTCTAAGGCTCGAACTCCCAACAATTTCAGGGACAGATGTGATCTTTGCATTAAAAAAAAATCCTGATAATTAAATGTGAAAACACCGACGAATTACTAAACCAACGCAATGAGCTTGTCTTCAAGTGTAGACACAGAAATCGTTTCAAAATTCTTAAATACTATAGATAGATAATGAATAGAATGAGATAGATAGATAGATATATAGATAGATAATGGACAGGATGATATAGATAGATAGACAGATAATGAACACAAAGAGATAGATAGATATATAATGAAGACAATGAGATAGATAGATAATGAACATAATGAGATAGATAAAGAGACAGAGAGAGATTTAATATGTCGATAGGATATATGAAAACTGATATGTTGTTAAGTAATTTTATTAGATTTTCGTACATATGAACAGACTGAGATAGATAATGAACAGGATGATACAGATAGATAGATAGATAGATAGATAATGATAAATATTTTCACTTTCCAAAATTATAGTTTATAATTATATTTATTTCTATCTATCTATCTATCTATCTATCTATCTATCTCATTCTGTTTTACAGGTTTTTCTCTGAAATCAAGAAAAGACGAACTTTAAATAAAATGAACAAAATATATGAAAAAAAGAAGACGTTAGTTTATACATATCCCCCTGTTGTCAGTTTAAACTGACGACTCCCCCAACCTGGATATATAGGCTATAATTATAAACTATAATTTTGGAAAGTGAAAATATCACTGAAATCTGTTGGGAATCTGTTTCATCTTAAATCAAGAAATTTTAAGTATAATGGACACAATCACAATATAAGGAAAAAAAAAGTAATCGTTAGTTTTTCTCATATCCAACAAATCACAATCAACAGAAAAAATGGCGTCAGTTTAAACGGACACCAGAAGTATATGAGTTTGATAAAGGAAAACCGACAAGAAATGCTTTGTTTTATTTTTAATTAAATTCTCTTATTTACATTCAAATGTTTGAGGAAAACAAGATACAAATTGCCCTCGACTTATATTTCGAGTAGATGTGGAACAGCGCCATCTATGTCCGGAATATTGTTCAAAGCATTCTGTTGACATTTCCTGCAACAGGAAGACGATGTGCTTTTTCAGCGGGATAATACGTACCCATACTATGATGAGACGACGCTTTTCTTATCCAGTCGGCCCTCTTATAAAACTCGATGTATTGCGTCAACAGGTGCAAGAGGCGTGGTATAACGTATTCACCATCTGTACGATTGTAGTCATTCGAGAATACAGGACTTTTCTTAACGCTAGAGAAGAATATATATTGCATTATTATCGGGTCTGGCTACTGTATCGCTACACACAACTCATTTTATAACGTCTACGAGTATTGATCTGTGTATGTAATTATTTTCTGTAATCCAAACTATATTACCGGAACGTTTAATCTTGAGTAAATTCATACGAGTGTTGAAATTTTATCACACACACACACACACACACACACACACACACACACACACACACACACACACACACACACACACACACACACATGCACACACACATATATATATATTTAAAAATTAGGAGATCAGCCGATCTCACTAACTTGGTTTAAAAATTTCGGTATCGTTAGGCGATACGGGCGTGCCGAAAAAGTTTTCGATTTTATACATTTACAAAAAATTTTGTTACGTACCTTTATTTGGTAAGCGGATAATATAACGACTGAACTTAATATATATATATATATATATATATATATATATATATATATATATATATATATGAATGATAAAATATCGTTCTAATGTATGCTATATTTATGAATAAAAATGCTTAATATCTGGTATAGAGCGTGTATAAATCTAAGAGTGGACACTGAGGTTAAAACCGAAGGGCAACAGTCTGTTTCATGCTTCAACCATCAAGATGGCCTAGAGATTGTGTTCAAGCATGAAATAGTCTGTCGCCACTCAGTGTTGACTTCAGTTATTTTTTTATTGATTTGTTTTTTATGGCTTATCAACCCTTTGCAGGTCATTTAAAGCCAGAACATATTTTTAGATTGTAATAGTTTTCTTTGGAGATAATAATTGTTTCGTGATACAAGTTTTATTAATTAAACCAAATTACAAAAGAATGTTTCCAGAACATCTAAGAAAAACCGAGGCGGTTCTAAAAATTAAAGGAGGTCCAACCTGGTAGAAGAAGATTATGCCTAATAAAGTAACCTATATATATATATATATATATATATATATATATATATATATATATATATATATATATAACCGAAAATCAAATAGTAACAAATAGCTAAAATTGAAAAAGAGGAAATAGCTAAGGAGTGTGTGTAAAGTGGAAAAAAAGGAAAAATAATCACGTTTCCTTACATGTACGCACATCCGCGCAGACGTGCGCACATCCGTATACACACACACAGACACACACTCACACACACTATGAAAAAAACTTGCACGAATGATAAGTGCATATAAGAAATCGAGAAGTATAAGCAGTAAATTGCTGATACCCACTGACGAGTGAACGAACGGGCCCGTCTACGAAACTCTGAAGTCGGGATGCTGAAGGTAACATCAATCAGCTAAGTGACAAACCTTTAACTTATAATAATTCTCTCTATCTATCTATCTATCTATCTATCTCTCTCTCTCTATATATATATATATGGTGCGATGCGTAAACTGTAGTGATGGGACGATATTAATATTTTTACCGATTCCGTTACAATTCTTGATACTGTTGTAAATTTCCAATTCCAACACAATTCCCGATTCCGATACCTACAATAATTGAAATTCATTATTATCAGTCCCTACCTACAATAATTGAAATTCATTATTATCAGTCCCTACCTACAATAATTGAAATTCATTATTATCAGTCCCTACCTACAATAATTGAAATTCATTATTATCAGTCCCTATCAGTCCCTATCAGTCCCTACCGTTAGTTTGTGAAAATCTATCAACCAAGTACATTTATTAATAAAACATTTAAAACAATGAATGAAAAGCTTAGATATTTTTTATTTAACAAATTGGGTTAGATTTTAAACAATAAAGCAAACAATTTCTCTAAGTAAATCACTTAAGTTAGCTACAGATGACATATTGCTTTACTTTGGTTATTATCAAAAATCTTTAAAAAATTTCAAACTATACTTTTGCCATAATTGTGGTCAGAAAATAATTGGTTAAAATTTAAATCTTTTACTGTTAGTTAAAAATATTTCTAGTTTTCTAATGTATATAATTTCTAAAGATTCAACTAATAAGGGTTTGCTATTAATTGTAAAATAAAAAGGGTCAATTTTTTTGGTCTACTTTTTAAGTTTTAACAAGCAAAGGCGCCTTCTAAATATTATACTATCTTCTTAAAATTTTATGTGACATTTTTCAATGAATGGAACAAATTTAGAGGGAACAATTCAATTTCAGCATGCACTTCAAAAATAAGACACCTTATATATATATATATATATATATATATATATATATATATATATATATATATATATATATATACATATATATATATATATATATATATATATATATATATATATATATATATATATTGCAACAACAATACTTTAAGAAGAAAGGCATCATCCTGTGTAATATGCTTTAACTCATGCATATATTTTGATAAAGTACAAGGGGTACTTAATTCTGCAGAATTTAAAATTTACTTACAGACGTTTAAAAAGAATTAATAAATGAATAAAAAATTATAAAATAAAATGAAATACACTGAAATTTTGTGTGAAAAGACTTTTTTTTCAGGAAACTTCAAATAAAACTTTGTTTATTCTTTAAGTAGATAAAGGTGGATATCCGTTTCGAAAGAAATACATGAATTTCGTAGAAACAAATTTAAATTTCATAAAAAGAATATTTACTTATTAAATTCTAAATAAAGCTTCTTTTCAATAACCGAGACTAAAAAATGATTTTATGGATTAAAACTATTATAAAAACAAATTGTTGTAGTTTAACTGCTTCAACACAAGGACAATTTGTGACACAAGGTCAATTTTTTATGTGAAGAAATCAAATGTAACATTGGTAGAAATTCCATACATTCATTTTATTCTTTTTTATAAATTAAAAAAATAAATAATAAAAATTGTCTTAAAAGGGATCCCGGCAGAACAGCGTAAATTCATTTTGTGTTTATATTGCATAATTTTGATTATAATTATTAAATTAATAATTTATAATATTAAATGGGTGAATTAACAATGTTTATAAGAAATTCAAAATAAAAATTTTATTTTGAACTGAAACAGACTTTAAACTAGCGAACTTTATGAAAAGTTAGAGAACTGAGTAGAAACTTGCACATTTCAGTTTTTTTTATACAAAATCACAAAATAAAAATATTATCATACTTAACTTAGGTCTTATAATGATCTATAGATCTTAGTTTTATTGATAATTTAAAATCAATAAATATTTATATCTTCTTTTTATCATTAGTAACAGGAATGAAAAATTAAGTTTTTTAAAAAAAATATATCCAAAGACTCGTTTTTGGAATCGGAAATTAGGTTAAAAATTCTTCTCTGATTCCGATGCCGATTCCGATTCCCACCAAAATTTCCGATATTTCCTATTCTGATTAATCGTCCCAACACTAGTAAATTGTCGCCATTTTATATTTTTTATTTTACGCATGCGCGTTGTTTGTTTTTGATTTTGTCAATTGCACAGTATTATAGGGTCAGCACCGTCTACGAGAAAAAGAGCACCATGATGCAATTCACTCCGCAAGAAATTTGGAAACAGCATGCTGTACTGTTTGGCACTTGCGCTAGAAGCTCCTATACGAATATTTCAGAGTGTCTGAGGACATTGCAGAGGATTCGGAAAGAACTGGATGACATATCTATTCAATATTATAATGTTTGGAGTGATCACTAGTGATGGCAACGTTATGCTTCCATTCATCTTCCCACAGGGCTTCAGACTCAATATGGAATCCTACATCAAGGGCCTTGAGGAGGTAGTGCTTCCCTAGATCAATAGGGTGGCTGCTGGAAGATACCATGTCTGACAACAGGACAGAATAAAAAACAAACAATGCGCATGCGCGAAATTAAAAATATAATATGGTGACAATTTACTCATCGCACCCTGTACTTAACATCAGAGACAGTTGAAATTTCTAGAGCACATAGTGAAGAAAGAGAGCTTGGGAAATGTGATACATACAGGACATATTAAAGGCAAGAGGGACAGAGGGGAAACAATATATAACGTACTTAGCGACCTTGAGTAAATGGATGGCAGATCAAGGTTTAGGAGAGATAAAAAATATTAATTGCTGCAACGTACAGGCAATTGTGGCGAGGCGTGATCGCCAGCGTCTTGAAATGACACGGCATATAGAAGAAGAAGAATCAATAGCAGAAAATGGTGGAATATTGCATAAAGCTAAAGAATCGATTCGGCAATGATATATTGATAAATGTATCACATGTGTTGAAAAGGAAATTGATAACATGGTCATTGAACGGCTTTCTTGATTGCTTTTATTGATCACTTGGATCGAAGTGAGATTGGCCTGCTGGTAAGGCGTGTACCTTTGTTGATCAAAGGCGAGGAAAGAAGAAGAAGAAGAAGAAGAAGAAGAAGAAGAAGAAGAAGAAGAAGAAGAAAGAAAACCACACACACACTATACCCACATATATTAAATAGTAAGCTTACTTTCAAATCTGAGGCTTTTCAGCTGCGAACATCTGTCGGAAAAATGTATCAGGAACTGTAAAAGAAGAGAAAGCAAAAATCAAACAGACAAACGAACAAATATTATTCAAGCATTGATTCTAATATCCTGATCTTTGTTGTTTTTGTCATATCTTTTTCGGTTGAATATTCCGCGGTTAAGAGAGAGAGAGAGAGAGAGAGAGAGAGAGAGAGAGAGAGAGAGAGAGAGAGAAGTAGAAGAAGTAGAAGAAGAAGAATCAAACAGGTTAAGATGGTAGTGATCGGGGAAGCGTCCTCTTGTGAGTCGGTTTCACAATGCAGCGGTTCGTGGGAAGATGCAGCTCAAGTAGAACTTACATCTCACCGATGGAATACGAAGAGAATGAGGGTGGTTCGCTATAATGGGCGTGGCAGGGTGGGTCTTAGCCATAAATGTTAGAACTGGTGGAACTAAGGAATGTAGTTTGAACACTTTCCATGGAAATAGCGATAGAACAGAGAGAGAGAGAGAGAGAAGCTGCAACTTTTAATCTGTTAGGTGAGCATTCAGGGTTCGCTCAGTGAAGATAGGACGTCACTAGTTTGATTTTCAAAATTAGTCAGCTTTTCCCCCAATGAGATTTTAAAGCTAGGTCAGAGGAGAGATCAGTTGCCAGCCTCGGATCATCTTGGGGTCTGGAGGTGCACCTATATACCGTTGTATCATCACTAATATTATTAAAAATGCTTAGACGAAACATTAACAATTTTCTAGATTACTTACATTATTCCCAATGTTATCCTCATCTTCATTGCTATATTCACAACGTTTTGGCCGTTGTACGCTCCAGCCTTCTTTAGGTGATTGGAACTTATCCACTGAGGCATGTGTCCTTGGTTAGATCCAGTGACTAGACCCAAAGGGTTGTAAGTTCAGTACCTGGCTGCAGCAGGGGTGAACCAAAAACTTGGAGAGTTGAGTTAAAGGGAAATAACTGAGACACCCGGAAGAGGGAGGATACAAAATAAAGGGTTCGGTTCAAAATTCAGGTTGAATAATGTAAATAATGTAAATAATGACAATACCTCCTCTCAGAGATATAGGCAAATTTGCTGGATCTTTGAATGAAGGTTACACTCGTAGTGGCTGAAATGACACTTCGGGCCACTTCTGTTAGGCTAAGGTTTTATGAGTAGGAGGCAGACATCCCAAGCAATTTCAACCAACCAGAGTGCAGTAAATATGCTCGTGTCTGGTTTTTGCTGGAAAAAGCAAATCAGCTTTGCTTGTGTCAGTTTAATTTCGGTGGGCGTAGTAGAGCTTACACCATTTATTCATTCAGATAGAATAATTAACCAATCAAATGATTCCTTTTAGTTTTCAAAATCATTAAGTATGGGCACATGTGATTAATCCGAACACTAACAAAAATGCGAGTTGGCAAATGAAAAAAAAAAGAGAGTCTTTTATCAACAGATATTCTTCCTTTTACAGACATACCCACGAGAGAGCCCCTTTTAATTAGCATAAATACTTTTACACTCTCTTACCGCAACCAAACAGAAAAAATTAAGACTACTAAAAAATTAATCAAATTTTCCTTGTCTGTCATATTCAACGAAACATACATATATACACATTATATGAGTAGTGAGTTCGATCCTCACTGGAGGAAGAGAAAGTACTGTTGATGTTACTTACTTTAGATGTCATCCTTCTATGGCTAAAAACAACATGTTTCCATAATGACGGATGATAACTAAGTTGTCGCCATTGTTTGCATACTTGTGACGTCACGCTTAACGTTTTATGGTCAAGGTAAGCAAACACTTCAAGTAAGGCATTTTCATTAGACTGATCGACTATTTCGCCAATTGCAACCATATCTGTGTCAAAAAGAAATGTAATGTTATTAGTATACACTATAATATAAAAGGTTTGGTGCCACTCTCTGGATTTAAGAATTAGTAAGTTTCTTTGGTTTAATTAACTCCTATTAAGGTAGGATGAGAAAACTATTTAACCCATAGCGTCCGATCTTTTAGAGATGTTACCTAAAATTTAAAATCCACCAGCTCTAAGATTGCTATCATCCAACAATGTAGATTAAGCAAAAAGAGCTAAAATTTTAAAGAAACTTATTACAGTAATGGGTTAATTTCGTTATTAGTATTACTAACTATTAATAATGTGGATTGCACAACGGAAAGATTCAATGGCCATATGTATGTCAGACACAATAATGTGACATCAACAGAACGTTTTATTACAAACGACTGAAATTTCGACAAACATCTAAAGGTGCACATTCTAAAAAATATTCAGAATCTACTGACTTTGAGGCCATTAAAATGCATGAGGGTTCACAGAATGATTGATTAGTTCCATAAGATTTATACAAAGCTGTTTGATTAATTCCTCTTAGTAACTAATCAATTAATGGAAAATTTACAAAATGAGCACGCCACATCATCATATTATGCATGTTTCAATTGCATGGCATTCACGTTGGCAGCGTTTATTACGTTTTGTCGCGTTGATTACCAGTACGACCGTTTTCTCAAGACAGACGACATTTGTACAAAGACCTATAAGTTTTTGTAGAGTTGTAAAAATATTTTTATGCTTGTATACAATTTTAAAACATAACTTGAAGAAGACAGATATGTTGTCGAAAGATTATTAGACATTGCCAAACGGTGTGTCTTCTTTTTTCTTTAGATCTCGCATTTCACTAAGAGTTGAAAAAATATTGAAAGAGTTACGTCAATCATTTTGTTTATTATTATTATTGTTGTTGTTGAATTTTTTGAAGTACGGTGGCCGTTAATAATTAAGTATAACTCAAGACTTCAATGTTAAAATAAAACAGTATTTAATTACAACCGCAACAGATACTTGACAAAAAAAAAAAAGAAATAAAAGTCAACCAAAGATAATTAGCCACTTCAGTGAATACATTGTTAGTAGCACCAATTTAAAGCGAAAATTTATGAAGATTCCTAAATTTTCGCTTGAGTATGAAACAGGGTTTGATACTTTAACTCAATTTAATTTTAATAATTATATTGAGGTTTTCGCCTCTTGTTTTTGAAACATGAGAACTTTTATGTAGCGAAGGAATCATATTTTTAAAAAAATAATTATAATTTAAGCTCTACTTCTGTATGGAGCACTGTTTTTTTTTTTTTAAATAAAAACAAAAATACTAAAGAACTCCCGATTATTTACCTAACGTGTTCTTTCCTATTTTTCTACATATCTGCATATATATATATATATATATATATATATATATATATATACTATGAAATGGACTAATTTCAACAATTATTTTAATATATTTTATAGATACAAATATTTAAGTAAATGCTCGGTTTATAATAAACAGTATTAACAACATTTACCGGCCTGAATGTCCGAGAAATTTCATAGATTATATGTAGCTCCAACAGGAAACGAACCTGTATCGTACACGGAACCGTCATATAGCCTGACGTGCTATGCCATTTAGCTACACAGAAAGCGTCTGGTTAGTAAAGTCAATTTACTATCTTTAAACAACAAATTGCCATGACTTTTCTTGAATCCGCATGTCTGCTCGGAGCGTATCTTAACGTAATATCCAGGCCGGTAAACATAGTTAACTTGATGTATATTATATATATATATATATATATATATATATATATATATATATATATATATGTATTAAGAGTATTAGCTATATTTACCGGATTTTCGCTTCCAGCGTCTCGTATACACGAGTTTGTCTTTCCTTGTATATCTTCTATGCAAAGAAAAACATTATTACCATGTCCGTATATTGTTTAATATATTGTAATGTTAATGCCATCTTTGATGATGGCTTATGTAAGCCGAAAGCTTAGGATTAAAAAACATGTATCAATATTGTGATTTTCTTTCTTTGTTTAATGATAATGTTATTAAGCTTATCAGACGATATGATAAGAATTTGCATAAAATAAATAGACAAAACTACTAATATATTATTTAATGAAACATGCATCGATATATATATATATGTCTGTGAGTATATATATATATATATATATATATATATATATATATATATATATATATATTGTGGTCACAGGAATCAAGGCTGCATGAACACAGCCAGTTTCACACTTCAATGTGAAAATGGCTTGAAAATCGCATTGCAGCGTGAAATTGACAGTTGCCATGAAATATTGATTTCTATAACCACCCTGCTTATATTTATAAGCATTTGCGATATTGGGCAGTATTTCACTATAAAAATTCTAAATTGTAATCTATCTATCTATCTATCTCAGACACGTGGCGTCATTCATTACTCAGATTTGGCAGTCTTTGACCTTTATGTAATAAATCTGCAAAGAATATTTTACATTTAATGTACAATAATCCGAGTGACCTTATAATTTTGCTGGGTTAGGTTCATATTGTGCCACAGAAGGAAAATGTAGTTGCTGATCAATTTAATCCAGGCTAGGCGGCACTACCTACCTTGCCCACCTAGACGTCACGTCCCTGATCTATCTATCTATCTATCTATCTATCTATCTATCTATCTATCTATCTATCTATCTTTACACATGCTCTATTTCTGATATTGAGCACTTTATCCCATAAATATAGCACAGCTTAAGACTATATATATATATATATATATATATATATATATATATATATATATATATATATATATATTCTTTTCTGAAAAAAACTTACCTGAAGGAAACGTTTCGGCAGTAATGTATTCAGGAATTGCTTGATTTCAGGCGTATTTTTCGCTTCCATTTTGTCAACCATTGCTTCTGATGGTATTGTCGTCCACTTTGTATCAAGTTGATCACCTTGCAGTTCAGGTTCGACAATTTCATCCTCATGTAAGGAGTCAACATTTTGGTGAGCCTCATTCGGCAAAAATATACCAGACGACGTCGTAGACTGCATTACCATAAGTTTCTTGATGTTTAACGGGACCGTCATTTCAGGTTCCTCTCCAACAACAGCTTCCGATAGCATCTTCCACGGTCGTTTGTAGTCGTCCTCATTCGTTACTGTCGACTCGGAATCAACCTTTTGAGGTATTTCTATCGATTGAACTGTCTCTAAATCGATGTCCTGAGTTTGATCCGATACTTTTAATGAGTTGGGTTTCATCATTTGATCAGCAGGTTCATTATTGTCTCTGCTCGGATCCTGTAATGATACTTCGACAACTGAATTTTGATCGGAAAGGTTTAAATATCCCCCCTCTCCAAACTGCACGTTCAAACCCAAATAGTCTTCGTTGTAATTATCCTTTGGGATGCACGCATCTAATGACTGAATCGAATTCATTCGTATGAGATAAGGTTTATCTCGGTCAGCAGTGCTTGGTTCATTTTCGCTATCCACTCGCTTTTCCGATGTTGATTCCTCTCTTAGCATGTCATTGGGTAAAGTGGCAACTACTTTCTCGTCAACAATGTCTGACCAGTGCGGGGAACCGTACGAACCTGGGGCAACATCAGAATCTAACAGCTTCGGGTGATAAGAATCCGACCGCCGAAAGGTACTGTCGCCATTGATCATCTCGTCAAAGGAACCTCCAGATTTTTTAGAACCAAAGAAATCCTTCACTTTCTCGTACCATCGTCTTGACTTTTTGGCACCGATTTCCTCTCGATTTGCTCTATCTAAATGTTCATCGCTTGCAGTTTTCGGACTGGTGACGTCTTCAGTTTCAGGGCTTTTAGCTGGCAACTCTGGCTCAAAATAGAAAATATCTTCTTCTGTTTCTTCATGGCCATCTACAATTTCTTCCTGTTTTTCATCTAATTCTTCTTTCAGAGTTTCTGTGTCTGAAATATTCCCCTCTATGAAACTATCCACGGGTCTACACGTCAATAATTCGTCTGTTTTAGATTTAGTTTGATCAAAAGCACCAGTTTTTATGATTGGAGATTCAGAAGGGACTGTCTGTTTGTTTGTCGCCTCCAGGTGAGCTTCCTGTATTGTTGGTGTGATAATATCACAGTTAGCGATGTCTGATTGTAAAACTTCTTCTTCAAGGATTGTCGTTTCAGACTGAAGCTCCACTTCTTCAGAGGTGCCCTTTGGCTCTTTTGTGCTTTCTATTGGTTGTGCGTCTGTGACTGTTATGTTTTCAGATTCTTTGTCATTTGAAGATTGGTCATTTTTGTCACTTTTAAACGCAAAGGCGCGTTTTAGACGAGGAACAAAACCAAAGAGAGGTTTCTTTAGGTTTTCGGACTTTTTATTCTTTGTTTCGTCAGCTTCTGTTTTGTTATTTTTATTCGAATCCTCATTAGAAGGAGTATCAGGATTAATTGTTTCAGGAAAATTCTTCTCAGGGGATTTTAAGCCATCATCAACTTCTGGTGGTAATTTGGATTCTGTTTTTTGATCTTCCGAAGAAACACCATTTTGGGGCAGAATCTGTAGATCTGGATTTTGATATTTGATTTCGTCAATTCTGCAAGCAGTAATTCCGGAAGTTTCTGTGTAATTCAGTTGATTTTCCGAAATATTTTTGTCGTTTTCAGATTTTTCTGTAAGTTTCTCCGATGTTATACAACCCTGAAAGAACTCTTTTATTTCAGAGTCCGTCGGGATTTGAGCACACTGATTGGCGCATTGAAATTCATTTAATTCTTCTTTTAATTCATCCTCCATGGCACTGTCAGTTGTTGTCTTGAGCTCTTTTTTGCTGGCAGCATATTTTTCCTCGTTTTCTCCTGTATACATATTAGATTCATTGAAATTAGGCGGGAACAGACCATCGCTTGTCTCTCGAAATTTTATTTCGCGCTGATTACGTTCATTTATATCTTGAATGATTAGAACTTTTTTCTCATCTTCTTCATTAATATAAACAATCTGTTCGGGATCATTAAGCATCGTATCTGTAGCTGTTAATTCAATTAAACCATTTTCATCTTGCAATACATCCTCAGAAAATGGCTCTGTAATTTTCTCTTCAACGATTGCATCATTGGTCTTTTCGACAAATGGAGCCGTTTCGGAATGTTTAGCTTTGCCTACGTTCAGAGAAAATATCGCCTGTAATTTGTTGCGAATCTTCTCGAATCTTTTAAAGCCCTGTTTATGGTTCATGGCCACAACGGTCGCGTCTATATCATCTTGACTTTCGCTGGAAAAAGACGAGATGGAAGATTTAAGACTAGAGTCATTAAAGTTGTCCGTATCGGCGGCGATCCCGTTCGATTGCGCTTCCTGGTTAAGCTCAAAGGATTGACCTTTGACCACTGAAGGCATCTTCTCGGTCGGCCTCTCAGCACAGCCCAACTCTCCTTCAGATTCTTCACCAGTCAGCTGTAAGGATTGGGCTGTATCGAGCGATGTTTCTAAAGAATCTGCTTCTATCACGTCGCTCTCCTCAGTCTCGACAAGTGCATTTTTATTTGCATCAACCAGACTGAATGAATAACCAGTTGCAACTGTTGGCACTAAAGGATTTCCAAGTATTCCTTGGTCTATTTTAGGTTGGCCTTTGTCGTTTTCCAAGTTAACGTTTTTACATAAATCTCCAACCACAGCCTGCGACGGTTCTATTCCATCAGTCACTGTACAGTTTAATTCTAAGGAATCTGTTTCTATGCTGTTCGAATCAGCATCAGAAGATTGTGGTTCTTTGGCAATTTCCAGCAAAGAATTCTGACGATTCGAATTGCTTTCTTCGCCTCTACTGAAAGCTTTTCCCGATTTACGTTCGGTTTCTTCTGTCAGCTTCTCCGATGTCACACAATTATTAAAAAATTCTTTTATTTCAGAATCAGCGATGACATATTCCACTTGGGAGCTTTCATTTGTTAGAGAATCTTTTGTGCTGTTTAGGAAAATAAATTCTCTGTCTTCCGAGCCATGTGGATTTGGTGAGTGCGGGATGACCATTTTATGAATAGGTTTGAAGTCTTCGATGTCTACTGGGTCAGCGACGAGACGTGGAGCTAAGGTTTCGAAATCTTCTTCCGACTGCATTTTCTTCGATTCTTCACGATTGTAATCAGTTGGAACATTCTGCAGATTATCAAGACCTTCGTTGTTTGTGAAAATTCCAGAAATTTTAGAAATATCCAGAGATTCCTGTTTTGTAAAATCACTCGGGTTGTGTTTATAATTAGGTGAATTTGGTTCGGAGCTATAAAACCTGGGAATCTGCGATTCTTTTGGTTCCATATCGAGAGCTGAGGGGGGCAAATCAAAATTATTCCACAGATAAAATCTGTTCGGTTTATCATCGGAACGTTCGTCATTTGCTGATATTTCTGGAGACAAAGGAACACTGGAAGTTACTTGCCTTTTTGGAATCTTTGATTGTGAACGGGGTGAATTATTTTGAACAGCGCCTGTAAATCGATTGTTATCGCTCTGCATGTTGTCCGCAAGAAGAGGCGAGGATATAAATTCCATATTGTCTTGAATGATTATTGACGCATCTTCTGTAGGGTTCTTGTTTTCCCTATATGCATCGCCCATAAATGTTTCTGATGATATATAATTACTGGATGGCTTTTGAATGCGCAAAGAATCTAACTGCGAGCCGTCAAGAGTTTCTGAATCGGTTTCCGTGTCTCTTTTATAAAGGGACTCAATTTTCGACCAGGTTGCCCGTTCGGACCCATTTTGACGTCTAGGTATTTTGGTCAGGAATCGAGAATCAGTGTGCGTGTCGTCTGAGGAATCCTCTTTTTTCATGCTCCTTGAACGGGGTCTGTCTGTAGGGATAGCGGTGTTTGATAATGAATGTTGCGATCTGATGGGTAGTCGACTTCGACAAGATGAATCAGAAACATCGGATGAACCCATTCTTTTTACCTTGGGGTAGCCATAACTATGTTTCGCGTGAGATACTCCAGTCGACACTGTAAAGAAAGGAAAATCAGAGTGTTAAATAATAAAAATAGACACGTATCCGAAACGCGTGAAGCTTTCAGACTATATATATATATATATATATATATATATATATATATAAATATATCCGTATTATATCACAGAAGGAATTAAAACATACATGATTGGGTAGGAAAGGCAATGAAGTGGGAATTGTGCTAATGGCTCTAATTTAACTGTACTAACAAGCAGCATAAACATAAAACAGAAGCTGTCATCGAGAACAGAAAAAATTAAAATTTCTATAAAACTTTGAAATTTAATCTCATCACCATCTTCAAAACTGTTTCGATTTGAGGTCATGAATTAACAGGTTCTCTCATCTTCAGTATACTGATTCGACAATATTTTGCCAGCCTTCTCTGACCTCTGTGAGTTTGCGTATTCGTTGCTTTCTTGATTGTAAACTTCTTTAAAGGAAAAACGGGATATTTTTGCATTGTTCTTTGAATGTCTCGGTTCAGCGATTAATAGAGAAAGACAATATTGGGAAAACTTTGCTTTTTTTTTAAATAAGAAGCGAATTTATTGAAACAAAGCAAGTTCAATTGACCATTGATGACAATTCCAGAAACTATAAACAATTCTTTTGCTATCCTTTGCCAGCCGCAATGATGGAGGAAACATTACCTCGAAGCATCGCCAGTGAGACACGCTGCAAGATCCACTCCGTTTCGCGAGGCTCGTCCCTTAATCGAGACGCAATCGCGCCAATCCTCCGAAACAATGCCATCGAACGAGGGCCAATAACCCCTGAAATCTCCACTGCCACAGGAGTAAAAAAAAACAAAGTATTTACTCTAAAACAAGAGACAAAATCCCGACGTCATAATGCATCATCGTGTATTTCAAATAATGGTGAATAATTTAAGGTTCAGGAATAATAATAAGAAAAAAGATATCCTAACTAACAAACAGTTTTTGGAAAAATATCCCATTTCTGAAATACGATATACTTCGTTAAAAAGAGAAAAGAAGTACCTTTTCATTGGCCCGTAAATTGGTGAATCAACAACTTGTAAGAACTTGAGATTTCCCCGTAAAAAAAGGAGTCTCTTCCTCCAAATTTCTTCAGCGAGAATTTTTCGGTTGGTAGCGGGCACATTGGCGTACGAGATGCTAGGATAGGGGAGTTTCTCTCACTCACTACATCCTCTCCGTCACTGACAAATAGTCGGCAAAAGTTAAATACCAAGAAACAATAGAAGTAACTAATACATACCATATGCGTTGTGTTATTTATTATTATTACTAGAAAACCATTCTCCATGGGAAAAAAGAACGGCTTATTTGACTTTTAGTAAGAAACAAAGTGCGACTTTGGTATATTAGCCTGAAGACAAATATGCAGACTAACGCATAACATAACATAACATTTTCTGTAGTGGAGTGTACCGCTCCACTACAGAATAATAACCGTGGTTGACAAAACACCAGTTCGAGTTACATATGATGTCGTGACTGTGTCACAATAATTAAAGTTAAAATCAGATGAAAGGCATTCCTACAAATAAGTGAGAAGCTGTAGAAATATCTGGTCAATTCGGGATATCAAATTATTAAGATCAACAAGAATACTGAGGAGAGTGCTGGAGAAAAAAAAACAACAACCCGTACGATATCAAAAGTTTGAAACAGCCGTAGATTTGAGGATAAATTTCGAGTTTCATAAACTTTTGGAAGAACAATGAATTCAAGAAACGGATCCAGTCAAATTTTACATCAACGAAACTTGAAAATTAATTTTCATAATCGCCGGTCTCAAATGAAAAGAAACTCCAATCAATGGTCGTAATCGGATTAAAGGGAAATTTTAAAACTTCAGTACAAATTTTAGTTACAAAAATGTTAGGAGACTTGAGTGTAACAATTCAGTTTGGAACTCATAGTAAATCAAGGCATCTTGGTGTGGGGAAATTCGTTGCGTGCTACACTGTAACCAGTAATATTGTGTACGTTACTCACTAGGTGCCTCATGCTTACGGCATTGTACCAAAACTAGTTATCTTAATAAATAACATCTTACCCTGCAGTCCCAACTGTGTTGGTCTTGATTGACTCAAAGGGAGGCGTTTGTCTCTGACATTATTTGAATTTGCAAAAGGAAATCCGTTTCTGCTCTCATTTTTCAGACACTCGTTGGTGTTTACTCTGGCGTTATTTTGACGTTGACGAGCCCTGAATTCAAGCCTTTCAGCCGTCGCTTGAGGCACATGATCTGCAAAAGAATAAAATACCTTAAACATTTTGTCTTATATCATAAACTATTATGTCCGTGTCAAAGTTCACAGTTTTTTTAACGCTCCACACTGAATGTAAAATAGAAAACCAATCATTTTTCTTTTGAAATAAAAACAGCTGTAAATTTCTCCGCATTATTAACCTTAGAACACTAACCATGGGTAACACTATGGGTATATAGTACCCAGCGCAAATTTTCCTATTTTTACTTACAATATTCAGTACCTGATTTTCTTACCTAAATATGTTTTTCAGTTCCTATTAATGTTAACTCAAAGTACAAAGTTTGAAGTGCCTGCAAATATTTCAAATAAAGATTTATATTTAATATTTTTTTTTGATATTTTCAAAATTGGGTATGATATACCCATGGTTAGTCGTGATGTAACTTTAACCCTTGAACACTAAGCATGGTTATATAGTACTCAGCGCAAATTTTCCTATTTTTAATTACAATTTTCAGTACCTGATTTTCATACCTAAATAATATGTTTAAAATATTTCAAATAAAGATTTATATTTAATATTTTTTTGATATTTTCAAAATCGGGTATGATATACCCATGGTTAGTAGTGGTGTAACTTTAATTAATGGTTAGTATTCTAGGGTTAATAAATGTTAACCGGTAATATCACATATCGAATCTATTAAACAGCAAGTCAAAATTTGAATTTCATGTAACCATTGCATATTCTTGATAAAATCCAAAGAAAAATCTGCAATTTTATTGGTCCTGACCTGGCATCTCTTCCTCAGTCACATTCCCAACGCCGTAACGTTGCTTCCCTCTGTCTTTTCTATAAGTATTTTCATGGTAACTGTTCTAATGAACTTCCCTCTATGAATTTAAGCGCAGTACTAGATTAGCGGCAAGGTCTCATCATTTTACCGTTGAAATGGTTAAATGTAACCGTAAGTTCTATAACAACAGTTTCTTCTCTCGCACTTCTCGTTTGTGAAACTCTCTTCCGGCTTCTTGCTTTCCAGTCAAATTTGATCTTCAAAAATTGAAATGCGATGTCAATCGTTATCTTCTGTCTTCTTAATTCCTGTTTTTTTTTTATTGTTCTCGCTCCTTAATAATGTTTTTCTCTTTCATTCACACTCAGTAACCCCCCTGTGCCTTAATGGCTTTATTACCTCACTTGGGGTGAAATATTAAAAAAAATATGTCGGTATATCAATAAGTCCGCAGCCTAATGATACAAAAATTATTTATTTTTGATAACATTTTTCAACATTATCTTCTACCTTGTCAATTAATGAATAATAATTGCATAGATGTGCGGTGTAATGTAATGATTAATGACACAGAATGAGAAATCGGAGAACCGAGTTTGAATTCTGGTCGGGTTCATTGCCATCAATTACGCGCAAATACTCTTGAGAAATGCACGAATACCTCTCTACACCCCAACTATTGGTTGGATAGTAGGACAGACTGTGTCCTAAGCCTTTATCGGAAACCAGTCTACCGTAGAACTGACACTTATCGTAATTCTCCATGTATATTACGCATTCTTTTCTAAAAAATAATAAGCAAAATTAGGGATGCATATTATGCACAGCTACAAAAATCTTTAAAAAAATTGCCGACTCATAGGCCGATTTCAGTTGCGAAATGACTACTCACCACAAACATACGACAATTTGACGATATTCAGTCACCCCCCCCCCCACGAGGGTGTCATGTGGCACAAGGCCTTTTTAATGTGGGCATTCCCGAGCCATTAGGCTCGGCCAAAAAACATACGACAATTTGACACTAACATTCGGTGATTGCGACCTCATAAGGATGCCAAATACAATCATATGTATCTAAAAATACTTACAAATGTAAAATAAAATAATAATTATCATAAAACTAAATTAGAATAATATTATTCTATGTTTAAAACCATTTTTTATATAAGAGTAGGAAACGTTGGCCGTAATGAAATTGGAGAGGTACAATAGGGTTTGATTACCAAACAAGGGGTGCGTGTTATGCGTGAGTAGAAGCATTTTCCCACACTTTCAGAACAATTTTAGCGGTGTGTATTATGGATGAAGGCGTATATTACATGGGGAATTACGGTAGTTTTTAGCTTAATTTTGATCTGGAATTGACTTAATTATTTTCTTATTATAATGATCGTTAAAGGCACGGTTTAATAAAAAAAAAAGGCTTTTGTGGGTATCTTAATATTGTAAATAAAAAGAAAAGGCAATATTTTGTTAAATTTAATTCGAATCATTTCCATCCAACAATTTTTTCTAAAAATTATTTAAATAAAACCTAAATAATTAAACAACAAAACATAGCAATTTCCTAACATTTGTAGCCCTTAATAAATTTTGTTTTTTTACAATATCATCTCGAACATTGTTCCGTCATCCATTTACTCAAGCTCACTAAGTATGTTATACGTTGCTTTCCTATGTCCTTCAAACTTCCCCATGAATAACAGATTTGTCTAAGTCCTCCTTTCTCATAATGTGCCCTACAAATTTCAGCTGTCTCTTGCTGGTGTTAGGTGTTCTTTTTGTTTCTATTTTCTCTAAAACTTTGCCGTTGCTCACATATTCGGTGTATGGTACCCTCGGCATCCTTCTGTAGAACCACATATCTGTTGTTTCAAGTCTCTTCTTCATCTTTGAGGAGATTCTTCAACATTCATTGCCATATAGGAGGACAAATATCACGTATCAGGTAAGTACTCTTTTCTTTGTTTCTAACGAAGTTTTTCTGTCTCTTAATCTGTTGCTTAGCTTTTGGAAGGCAACTTGGGCCATTCCAATGCGACTTCGGATTTCAGTGTCATACTTTCCGTGTTCTGTTAGAACACTTCCCAGATATTCAAATTTTTGTACTGATTTGATTTTGGCATTAGTAATTTGCATTTTGGGATCACCCTTTTGCTAACAACTATGGATTCTGTTTTCTTGCAGTTAATGTTTAATCCTTTCTTCCCGCTTTCCTTCACTATCTTCTGTCGGAGTTCTTGTAGTTTCCTTTCTGTGTCTGCTATCAACCCCATGTCATCTGCATATTTTATGTTGTTAAGATCATGGCTGCCAATATTGGCGCGGTTATAATTATATAAAACATAAAAATAATACATAAAAATGCATAAAGAATTAATAAATTTATTTTTATTCCGACATTTTTTATTACTTTAAATATTATTATATAACGGAGACTTCTTGTTTCAGTCTCGGATAGAAAACTGAACAAATCTAAAGCTATAGAGTAATTAATCTGGGAGAAGAAGATGCACCCTCCTTAAGAAGCGAAAAAAATGCTTAAATATAACGTTCTTCGTGGCCGAGCGGTAAAACACACCGGATAAAAATGGCGGTTTCACCTACAAAGGGCGACACAGCTTTGATTCTTTCCTCGGGAACGCGTTTTCTTTACTAAGATTTCTCGAATGCTCAGGCCGATAGACAGACACACTGTTTGATAAATAGAAATAGGGCGTCTATTTAAACTACGAAATATCCATTATATAATATAGTAACAGCATAAAGAAGCTTTATTTTACTAATTCAGCTTTAATGCTGAAAAATGTTTATTTTATTTTGTAGCGAGAGGGGAGATGGGATGTGCTTATTTTATTACTAGACACTATAATAATATTTGAAGTAATAAAAATAAAATTTATTCGGTCTATGAAAAGCTCGTTAATATGCGGCTTCTAGAAAGTTCTATTTTGAAAATTCTATTTGAAACGCTGTCGGAAGAATAAAAATTTACTAACAAATCAGATTAGCCGCTCATGTACCCAACATCTGTCACCATGCCAAGAACAAAAGGAGACAGTGTAGCCCTTAGAGATAAAGATGTGAAGTGTCATAAAAATGGCGGAGGTAAGTTTGCCAGTAATTATCTTTCTAAGTGAACAATTTAAACCGCGTAAACTATAAAATGTCATAAAATCAAAAATTAAAACATCCAACCAATCGGTACGGATCCTTGTTTTTTTTTTTTTTTCTTCAGACTGAATCTAAATGAATAAAGTGAATGAAGTGGAAAATCAAAGATTAATTGTACTGTATTTACAGTTTTCAAACCAAAGTAATGTACAGAATATAGAGTTTCTTCTTTTATGTGCCGTGACCCTTCAGGACGTAGATGATCGTGGCCCTCCACATCTTCCTGTCCGTTGTAAGACCTTGCAAACCAAAGTAATGTACAAAATATAGTTTCTTCTTTTATGTGCCCCTTTAGGGCGTAGACGATCATGGCTCTCCACATCTTCCTGTACCTTGTAGAACCTTGCAAACTAAATAATGTACAGAATATAGTTTCGTCTTTTATGTGCTGTGCCTCTTCAGGACGTAGGCAATTATGGCCCTCCACATTTTCCTGTACCTTGTAGAATCTTGCAAACCAAAGTAATGTACAGAATATAGTTTCGTCTTTTATGTGCTGTGCCTCTTCAGGACGTAGGCGATTATGGCCCTCCACATCTTCCTGTACCTTGTAGAACCTTGCAAACCAAAGTAATGTACAGAATATAGTTTCGTCTTTTATGTGCTGTGCCTCTCCAGGACGTAGGCAGTTATGGCCCTCCATATCTTCCTGTACCTTGTAGAATCTTGCAAACCAAAGTAATGTACAGAATATAGTTTCGTCTTTTATGAGCTGTGTCTCTTCAGGACGTAGGCGATTATGGCCCTCCACATCTTCCTGTACCTTGTAGAACCTTGCAAACCAAAGTAATATACAGAATATAGTTTCGTCTTTTATGTGCTGTGCCTCTTCAGGACGTAGGCAATTATGGCCCTCCACATCTTCCTGTCCTTTGTAGGTCCTTGCAAACAAAAGTAATATAGAATATAGGGCTGATTTTCGAATTTGTTTATTGCGTTTAATGTTCAGTACAATAGTGTACTGTATAAATATTTAGAAATAAGAAATGTTACTTCTTTCTTCTTTTATGTGCCGTGTCCCTTCAGGACGTAGGCGATCATGGACCTCCACATCTTCCTGACCCTTGTAACTCTTAATGTTTTGTCGTTTGGTTCTACCATTCATTTACTGAAGCTCATCAGGTATGTTACGTAATGTTACAATTTGTGTCAAAGTGACATTTAAATCTATCTGAAGCTGGTTTGTAGCAAACCCACTACACGTGTAGTAACATAGTGGTCGGATACTTCTCGCATAGCGACCAGGCCATTGGAACGGGGTTCGGTTGTTAAGTGAGGAGTGGCTGTATTAATTATTTACTATTTGACTTCTTCCTGCGCACAAGCCGAATTATATTGAGCACTTTGACATGGTGCAATGGTTAACAAGCTTGTCTCACTAGATCACTTGCGCCACATCTAAGCTATGCTGAGTAAATCGCTATGAGTCCACTATATTATTAATACAACCATTCCTCACTTAGTGACTTACCTATTTAACCCCCTTCCCAGGACATATGGCAGATTAGGAAATCTCAGAAATTAAAACAATTTCAACCAATCTGCATTATATATTGTACAAAAACTTTGAGGATGATTACTCATTCTTCCAAATGAATTCAAATGAATCAAATGAATCAAATGAAGTAGAAAATAAATAAAAAAATTCCCTTGTACTGTATTTGAAGTTTACAAATCGAAGCACTGTAAAGAATATGATTGAAGAATTGATTTTCGAATTATTTCGCTTACCGTCTTTTCTCGCGCATAATACGAGAAATTTTGAATGAAAATTAAAGGCGAAAAGGAGGGGCCGTATTATACACAAGTAAACATTTCAGAAATATTTACTCAACTTAAAAAAAACCCCTCTTATTTGAAACGGCAAGATTGTAAATACACTCAATTAGCACAATCTATATACAAAATTCTGTGACTTCTGTTAGTCCGTTGATTACACCATCTAAAAAAGACATATATTAACCTAGCGAAACCAAATTTTGGGGAAAAGTGCAAACAGATAAGGGGGTACAAAGTACACTTGGTTTTACTAGGGTGTGTAGGTTAGTATAATAAATTTTTATTAACTTTTTCGAAAAAATTAAAAGCTTTATTATTTAACATACAAAATACTCCCCATATTTTAAAGACAATTTAATGATTAAAATAACAAATACATATTTAATAAAAAAATTAATAAAAATGCAATATTGTTTTTTTTTGCTTTTTTTTTTCGTATCTTTTTCTTAATTTTTTTTATATACAAGAATCCAGTTTTCAATTCGACCGGCGTTTGCGAGAACTATAAACAAGTCACAAGGCCAAACGCTTCAAAAAGTTGGAATTTGGCCAGTTGTATGTTGCTTAAAAGTAAGAAATCCTAAGAATTTATTCTTCGCTGATGAAATGGAAAAAGGAAAAAAAGAAATTTTCTTAAAAAATATTATTTACCATGAAGTCCTATAGAATTAAAGAAAATTAAAGAAATTATTAAATCGCGAAAATATTTTTTCCAAACAAATCAGTTTATTCAAATTTCATCGATTGGTTTGCGAAATTGAACGAAAAGTAGGTTTTGTAAATTTGGTCAAAAATGTTGCAAAAATATTCTAGTACAAAATAAAACAAAAAGTAGCCAGGGTTTGATAACAATTGTTTAAAAAAATGTATTTGGTTTGTCGGCCATATTTGTTCTTTGGGAATCTGTGTAATTTTACGTCTTTTAATCCAAAACAGGAAATTTACAAAAATTGATTAAAAATTTAATAAAGACAATGTACACGATCTATACACAATATTACAACAAAGCATCTTTCTCCGAAAATAAGTTTTGAAACGGAAATTAGGAGAAGAAACACGCAAGGGACACACATCCGGTTCATTTTTATTCTTTAATATCGTGAAAAATTAAATATTTTAGTTTCGTGAAATATATGTGCGATACGGAGATTTTAATTGATAATAGATTACAACATTTTAAAAGAAATTTATATAGGGATATCTATACTACGAGATCGTATTATAATCAGAGATGTAATTCTCTGTTTTTAATTTCAGAAACATTGGGTCGTATTGTACACAAGTCGTATTAAACACAAGAAAATATGGTACTCTCTAATACACTGGTGCATTGTATAAACATTTAGAAATAAATTAGAAGTTTTACAAATGGCGCAAAAGTGACATTAACGCTATCTGAAGCTTGTTGATAAATTATACGAGTAGTCTGCTTGAAATAGCAATTAGGTACATCTTACTTAGCGACCACCTCGTTTAACGACTATGTTGTTGGAACGGAATCTGCTCATTAAGTGAAGGGCGGATATACTAAGAAGAATTTAGAGAATGATACTGTAGTAAATGAGTATGAAAGAGGTCATAAACAAACAAGGAATACGAAGTAATCCTAGACTGACCACCAAGCTGATGAAGTAGCAGTTGTAAGGGAAAAAAATTTCTGGGGTAGAATTCTTGTAAGGACAGCATTGAAATCATGTCATCATTGGCAGCGGCACGATTTGAGGGTAAGTTTGAAGTTTGCTAAAGATCCTTTTGAGAAAAATAATGAATTTTGGAATAAGATTCTGATGAAAGAAAAGAAAAATTATTAGCGATTTACTAGGGGCAGCTTAGATGGCCGAAAGTATGGAGCACCCAGTGAGGATCGAACTCACTACTTAGTCGTAATTTCTCTAGCGAGACAAACTTGCTAACCATTACACCACGCCAATGTGCCCTAGAGTTATATTTGGTCGTAAAAATGTTTGTAAGAAAAATGGTGAAAGTCATCTCTGGAAGAACACTGACCCGAGAGTAAAGCATAGAGATTAGTAGAGATTAAAGCATAGAGATTAGTAGTTTGATGTTCTGGTACTGTTTTGCAGCACGCCCTGGAAGTTTTAAGCTAATGGCATCATGAAAAACGAGGACTACATGGATATTTTGAGCCACAACTCGAAGGACCCTGCAAGGGGGACTAAATCTGGGATGTAGCTGGATCTTCATGTAAGACAAGGATCCTTAGTATACTTAAAATTGAATGAAAACATGGTTAGTAAAAAATAGTATTTAAGTTTTGACATGATAAGCTCAAGCCTAAACTTTAATCCGATTGAATATTTCTGCATATAGTTGAACGTTAAGGCCAGGCAAAAGAATTCCATGACTTTCCAAGTAACTTTTAGTAAGAAAGACGTTCGACTAGAAAGCTTATTCCCAAGAACCACCACTCCCGCGTGGATGCTTCCCCGAACATTACAATCTTAAGCTCTTCAAGTCTAGGATCAATCGTTATCTATCCTCCATATTCTTGTCTATTTCCTCATTTTACTTTGCAGTTACATGCTTCATTCAGCAACACTCTACCTTGAGCAACTCTTGGGCTTTGTACTGGCTGGACATTAATTAAAAAAAACATTTTTATAGCTGAACGTTACAGGGTTTCAGCAAGAGAGTGGATGAGTGATCACCTAGAAAACCACTCTCCCATATCTAGCTTACCTACTGATATGTCCCGAAAAGGGATATATTTGTTCGAAGTAGCAAAGTGGTTGTTGACTACTGTAACCGGGTAGGACAATCTAGCAGATAACCGTATGGACTGATCCTCGTCGTAGTGGTAGGCAATAGGCGTAGGCAATAGGCATAGTCCATGTACCTCCACAGTCTGTATTTATGGCTGACACCAGCCAATCATATTACTGTGAGGGGAAACCCAGGTATATGCATATTCATTACATCACCTACAAAGACACTCACTCAGTGATTCTTAATGTATCAGCTCACATTGCCCAGCCACCTTTTTCTTTAATTTTTCCCCTTTTGGGAATTTTTAGCTAGTATCTCTCGTACTTAGACTTATGGCTTATACATATGAATGAAACTCTCTCACCCGCCCCAACTCGGACTAAGCTTAGATTTGAAATGATCCCTGGTTGAGACTCGCTATAAAAGCTTAAAAAAAATCTGTTACGTCAAAAGTCAAACTGGACAGTTTTCAAATGATTTGAGCAAATTTATAACTGACCGTTTACAAGTTTGGATTTTGATCGGAGTGCATTTGAATAGGCCTGGTCTTGTGATTTAGTCATCAATGAAGGTATTTTGGAATCGGAATACATCCTGGATTTGTTTCTGTTCGACGATAAAGAAGATGCAGGTTGTGAGGCAGATCTCATTGGTTGGTTTTCTTTGTTGCGATTCGTGCTGCGCGACTGCAAATAAAATCGACAAGAAAATAAGAACGTCTGCTCAGAGGTAATTTTTTTTCTCTTGTCTTTTCTGTAGATCTGAACAGGATACGACAAACAGACAGACACGAAGAGAAATAATAACATCACATATGAGCAGGACTTAGGTAAACAAATAGATAGATAGGTAGGCAGGTAGGTAGGTAGAGAGAAATAAACAGATCAATAGAGAGATATGGTAACAATGATATATATATATATATATATGTGTGTACACACACACACGCATATGTATATATATGTATGTATATATATATATATATATATATATATATATATGTGTGTAGAGAGAGAGAGACAGAGACAGAGAGACAGATGAACACAAATAGATAGATAGAACAGAATAATACTGATATAGCTAGAATGGGATAGATTGATATGAAAAGATTTGGATAGATATATCGATATAAACAGTGTGAGATAAATAGATATGAACAATCAATCAAGACTGTAACTGCCATAGTATGCGTTTCAAATAGTTTTTGACAACTAAGTCCAGCATTAAGCTGGAAAATGAGCGAAGGTGGACAGCTGGCGCCTCATAACTAGCTGCATGGGGTAAATGGAGCACGATAGACCGAGAAAATAATCCATCTAGGCGAAGGAAAACCTTGATTTTAAACCTCCACTGCTTTGTGATTACTATATTTATTTTTATATATATATATATATATATATATATATTGATTATTTTTAAACTTTTCCCACAGTTACCAGGATTTTTTGTATTTGTATTTATTTGTTTCATAAAAACTGACCTGGAGAACATTTCTTGTCTTATTTTATAATTTTCTGCTTTTGCTTACACAAAGATATATTTATCAACTTTGCTTTTACTACTCTTGTCCAATTTTATCAATTGATAGTTCATTTGTTAATACTGACAAGAAGATAGTATAAATTATTTTTATTCTATGTTATAAATAATGACTTCATAATTTATGAGTATTTTACGCTTAAATCACAATTCATATTTTTCTAAATGCTAATTTTTTTTTTATATTTGTGTTTGTTTTGTAATTTGTCTTGCTTTCTAGTGTTTTTTCTTATGTGACGTTATATTTCTATTTCTATGTCTGATCAAAAAGTATCGGGACTGTTGCTATCGGAGCTAAACTACCCGGAGTAAAACCGCTTGGCACAAACTGACGTTGAACTCTATCGTGTAGGCGCATAACGTTATAACGTTCTTGCTCACTTCTGCTCTTTATAACAATGCTTGAAAGAGAATCGTCTCATCACATCACATAGGTTCCATCAGAGATCATAGCTTGTGCAGTTACGTTTTGCCAAGGACAACATTTCCCAGGCCACCAGACCTCGTCACTTGCGACTTTTTCCCTCTTTGTAAAAATCATATCCCATTTGAAAGGAACAAGATTTCAATATGTTAAGGAAATCCAAGAGAATGTGACGAGGTAGCTGCTCACTATCCCAGGAGTTCCAGGAATGCTTTCATCAATGGAAACGACTCCGGATGAAGTGTGTGGCATCAGAAGGGAACTACTTCGAAGGAGATTAAATGTTTTTTTTTTTTAGTGGAAACTCGTACTTAAGTAAACGCTCTGTTTATTTCTTAAACAGTATATTTATTTATTTTCGTCTACCGGTCTGAATATGCGAGAACTTTTATTAGAAAAAAAATAATAAGATAAGGAACAAATAGGAAACGTTTATAAATCTAACATGTTTCACTTCATCAGAGAATGAGGTATGGAGAAAAAAGAAATTCTGGTATTTTTGCTTTTGTATTGTTGAATTTTCATTGGTTAATTAGGTTTCCCGTGCATTTGACTTGTTAAAACAACGTTGGTATAAATTTTCGCGTTCCGGATTCAAGACGAGACGAATATTGGTCTTTATATTTGAGTCTATAAGCATTTATTTAATTCGGAAAATAGGTAAATATAGGTCGTTTATACTTGAGGCTGCAAGCTATTTACTTGGTAGATGGGCCCTTCTCTGCAGAAACGTCCTAACTTCCTACGAAACGGACAAGAAAAAACCTGAATCCTGATCATCTAGGTAGACAATCGTAAACAGGAACTACTTTCTGGCTGAGAGAGTAGAGCGTTGCCTTCTCGTACTAGACGAGAGTGACTGAGAATAGACAAAAATTTAGGTTTTTCGAATGTTGATTTTCAAGGTTGATATCTAGGATTTTCCCATTAGTAAGACTAGGTTGCTGTAATCTTTTCAATCCCTATTTGCTCCTTTTTCCCACTGTAAGCTCAGCTTAATACGTATTAGTATATTTTATAAATATAATAAAATGCAAATGAAGAAGAAAAACTGTTTAAATCAGAAAAATGGATTTATTATGTCCTATTATAAAATTTGGCTATAATGATTAAAATTACTTACAGTTCTACTGAAATAGGGATGTTTGCCGTCCATTGCGTTTAAGGTCCCAATGTAATAGGCCCCCACAAATGGAGGTAAACTTTGACTTCGGGTTTGCTTTTTTACTTGACATGATTTGCTCCTGTAACAAAAAAAAAAAAAAAAAAAAAAAATAAGCACTTTTTCTAAAAACGGTTAAATTATAAAGAAAATAGTGTCCGACCATCGACAATGCATTTCTTCCTGTTTTCCTGCGGATTTCCATACGAAACTCATTAGCAATGCTTTAACATTATACATATAATATCCTTATTATTCCAGCCACGCACACATAGACTCTCCCAGCTATAAATAGGAGCAGGTACTGCCTTTTGGAAGGTGAAGCTCTGACAGTCGGACCGAACATTCTTGCTGTAACACTCTTGTTTGTATATATTTGTATTACTGTTTCTGTGAATATATTTGTATAACTCAATTCCTCTCTTGTGTCTTTATTTCTGGCCCTAGAAAATGATGAGTGGAAATTCGTATTTGAGTAGACATTCTGTTTCTTTATTAAACAGTATCTACCGGACTGAATATGCGAGAACATTTATTAGAGAAAAATAATAAGATAAAGAACAAATAGGAAACGTTTATCAATCTAACATGTTTCACTTTATTAGGCCACAACAATAAACTTGCTGAAACATAGTTTAGTTCGAAAATTCGATAGTTTTTGGTCAAATATCTTTAACTACCGCCATTGAAATGGTCGTTGCAGAAAACGATTGTATTGGATAAGTGGAGAAGCGGGAAAAATCAGTTGACGACAATTGGAAAATCCGGAAACTTGTTATCATAGCCCAGGTTCAAATGTCGTCAGAATGGAAATACAATCAGGATTATTGTTTCATTTTTCTCCTACAACCAGAAGTTGCTATGATTATGTGTTTCAAATAGGATATAAAGTCCGGACAAAGTTTTTAAGAAATTTGACAAATGGATAACGTTTCAATGAAACCAGATTTGATTACGTATTTCGCTTTTCTAGGCCTCATCAGATCCCCATCCCCCCGCCCGCCAAAAAAAAAAAAAAAAAAAAAAGAGTAAAAACGAAATGTGTGCATAATACTTTTTCTTTTTATGTGGCATGACCTTTCAGGAGGTAGGCGACCATGGATCTCCACCTCCCTCTATCCTTTGCAGCTCTCAACAAGTTCCTTCCTCCTGCCACCTCCCCCAGACCACGTTTTGTCATCCACTTTCTTAAGCCCGCTAGATATATCATGCGTTGTTGTCCCGTGTCTCGCTTTCCTTCTATTCGATCTGTGAGTATCAGATTCTCCAGACCCTCTTTCCTCGTTATATATCCCAGGAACTTCAGCTGCCTCTTCCTGATATTAAGTATAAGCCTTCTCCTTGTTTGCATCCTCTCTAAGATCTCATCGTTGCTCATACGCTCGGTCCATGATATCCTTAGCATTCTTCTGTAGAACCACATCATCGCCTCGAGTCTCTTCCTCATCTTTGAGGAAATCATTCAACATTCGGTGCCGTAAAGAAAGGCAGATGCCACGTAACAGTTCAACATACACGCATTCTTTCTTTCTTTTTCCAGTCTGATGAAACCTAGAAAGGTGAAAAGCGTAACCAAATCAAGTTTCAATAAAACGTTTTCCATTTGTCAAATTGCTTCAAAACTGTCGATATGTAACCATTAGAATGAATGAAAATTTGATGTATGACTTTAATAAATAATTCTAATACATTCTTATAAGAAAATAATTCCTAATGGATTTCCATATATGCTCCTAGTATTTATTGAGTCACTGTATATGTAATCATTCGAGTGAATGAAAGTTTTAAAATATTTGTTTAATAAATAATTATAATGCATTCCTATAGGAAAATTATTTACTATGAATTTCTTTATATGCTTTTAGCATTTGATGATATCATCCTATATGTAATTATTCGAGTGAATTAAACCTTTTGTAGAACTCGAAAAATGGAAATAAATGGAACAATATCTGATTATACTTTCTTAAACTGGGTTCTGCATTTAAACGTGGTCACTAGGTCTTTGAAATAAAGCCTCAAGTTTGCCGAATATCAATTATCGATTATAATCCCGGGGAGAACTTTCAAAAGATACAATGTGTAGAGCACTATGTATGATCAAAAACATATGGTAAATTTGAAACAGTAAAAGTCGAAAAAAACAAAAACAAACAAAAAAGAACCTCGCTATTTCAGAGATTAGTTGGGTCCGCAGACACATGCGTGAAGCTCTTAACCAGAATCTAATTCACTACAATAATAATGCAGTGTGATTGGCCTGATTTGTCTGCCAAGTACTTCACTTAACCTCGCTAGGTAGCGTTGTTAACAGAACTGTATAAAAACGAGACATAAACATTATTTTTCACTTATACAGTCACAGGGTGCGGTTTGTAGAAGACATGTCGATAACTTTTCGTAGGATGATTTTTTTCCATGAGCATGCCGACTTCTTATTTTCACACAGCCACTTAGCCACACACACACAAACACGCGTACACACACACACACACACACACACACACACACACACACACACACACACACACACACACACACAGTTCAACCAAGGGCATAAATGTTTTTCTTCTTTTTTGATATATACATAAATATAATTCCATCTTTCTCTTCTTTTTTTGAGCCAAATTGTTATCTATATAAATATATATAAAAATCCTGTACGTGTTGAATTATTTCTTTTTTTAAGATAACAACCTCGGTCGCAACAAGTTGCAGCACGACTCCGCTCCAATGATCAATGTTTGGTATTTGTCAAACCCTGCTCGACAGTGCGACACTTATGGTGTGACATTGAGGACAAAAGTAAATTACCTGGGTTCTAAATCCCTTGACTTCCGATCAAAATTTCCCGGGCAAACATTTCTGTCTGGATTATTTTGGTTTAAGGTCTTGTTTCTCGTCGTACTTTCTGCCTGCAAGATGTAAAAAATAAATCATTTTTTATATCATCAAACACATATATATATATTACAGACCAAAATTTTAAAGCCAGAAAATATTTTTAGAGCGGAAGAATATTTTTGGAGATAATAATATTTTTATTGTTACAAGTCTAACTAATTAATCCATAGCTGGGGGAAAAGAGGAGGTATTTGCGCATAAGTGAATATAAGGAACCCAACTGGAATTGGAACTCGGCTCTCCAATTAACAATGCCTGCTATTACCCGTCACACCACCCACACATCCAAGCCTACAGCACTTGGTATTCCCAAGCGGTTACCCATTTAGGTACTGACCAAACTTGATGTTGCTTAACTTCGGTGATCGTACATGAACCGGTGTTTCAATGTGATGTGGCCACTATACATTAATACCCTGTGTGCCCACTATACATTAATACCCTTAGAAACATATGAATCTATTAGTTCTGTTGCATCTCTGGGTAAAATAGCAAAAGGAAATCATCATTTGATCTGGTCAAGCAGTCTAAAACACGTTGGACGAGAGAGCGGTTTTCACTACAAATTGGAACACAGGTTCTGAGAGCACATTTTTCCTTATGAAATCTCTTGAATGTTTTTTTTTTAATCATTCTACTCCAAGCAAGGCAATAAAAGCCTTTAGGATGCAAGGAGTTATTGAAAATAAAACAGAAAATAATAATAAAAGGACAAGAATGAAGAGGACAAGAGATGAGAATTGACATTGCATTTAGATTTTTGAAGATCGTAATTGATAAGAAAGCAAGAAGCCAGAAAAGAGTTTCACAAGCAATGGAAGCGCCGGTGAAGAAACTGAATTCGTTGTAAATTTTTTCCCACCAAAACCTGCAAAATTTTACTCAAATGCTATCAAAAAGCTGCTTTATAAGTGGCAACAAATCACGGCAAATAAAAGTTAATGCATCATTGAATAAAACGTAATTGTACTTTATTTTTGGAAGAATAAATTTGATAAACAAAAAAAATGGAAATTATTTATGACTAAACTTAATATTTAGTTGTGGTAGTCATATTCAAAGCCACACAAAAGTCAATTAAAAAAAAGGTACAGTAGTATTGCCTAATCGTCGTCATTTCAGACAAAATCAACCAGTTCCCTTCACAGGGGATTGGGTCTTGTTTGGCTGATTAGATCAACATGAGATCAGCACAATTTTACACGAGTAGCATCCAAAAAGATCTCAAAATATTAGATTGTCAACCCTACTTTAATCATCTGATAAAAACTAAATACTACACTAAATGCACATTTATACACCCAGCAGCTGCAACGTGTCTGTAAAAGTTTCGGTTGAAAATCCGTGCGCCTGTCAACAACAAAAACATTGTACTTCTCCATGGCAATGAAAGGTCACATACAAAACGGAAAACAAAGAAAAAAAATTGGGATCTTGGTTGGTCTGCTCTACCCTCATCAGCCATATTTAACCGATCTTGCACCAAGCAATCGATCGTTACAAACACTTTGATTGGGAAAAATTTCTTTCATGTAAACCAGATTAAAAAAATTCATCAAAAATTTTTTCTCGTGAAAACTTGCAAAATTTCACTCAAAATGTATGAAAGATCTGCCGAATAGGTGGCAAGAAATCATTGCAGTTAATGGTAAATATGTAATTGAATAAAATGTAATTGAATAAAATGTAATTCTAATTTAGTTTTTGAAGAATAAAGTTGATCAACACAAACAGAAATTATTTATGGCTCAACTTAAACATTAAACTGATAATAAAAATCCGAATAAATAATAATACCTGATTTGTCGTTTTCAGATGAATCATTATCAATCGAAGACTTATTCAGACTACCTACTTGTTCTTATTTGTTGCTATCACAGCGTTTCGGCCGGTTTATTCTACAGCCGTCATCAGGTGTAAAAAAAAGGGAGATTGCCTCTAATTTACAAATGGCGAATAGGAAATGATTGGTGACAATAGGCAGTTTGAGAATATGCGTTCGATTGGATTAAAACACTTTCAAACAAAAGAAGTTCCGTTTTTCACATCCAATTCTTTAACGGAATCATTTCATTTCCACTGATTTTTAAAGACTTTATTATAAATGGAAATTTTAGTATTTAAACATCATTCAGAATATGTCATAAAATGAATATGCTTGAAGCAAACAAATAAACTGACATACAGATGAAGGAGAAGGCGGCTTGTCCAACTAATTTCAATTCTCGATTGTCAAATGAGAAAAAAACAGCTGTGTATCTTTTCAAATTCATTTATTTTATCTGAATTTCAATCAACATGAATATTGTTATGAAATTCTCGGTAAAATGTAATATACCTGCAAGCAATCATTTTTTTAAAATTGTTATGCAAAGGTATTGAGTTTCGGTTAGTATTAAAATTTTATATACATAATAACTGTAATAAAAATCCATTGCACGTCTAATGTAGGAAAAAAGACGACAGAGACTGTGTGCTATTCTCTGTCATGTTATATATACCATAGAAAACCTCGATTTTGTATCTCCTTCCATCTGATCTTTTCTTACTGTATTTGCTACCCACTAAACATCAGTCAAGCAACCTTCAACTCCATCAGTTATCTTTTCTATCTATCTACCCCATTGTGTTCATCTATCTATCTATCTATCTATCTATCTATCTAGCTAGCTAGCTAGCTAGCTAGCTATCTATAATTACTAAAATTAGAATTGGACAAGCTAACCAATATTGAGCGATTAATATGAACCGAACTCACAAGTAATGTTTTTGCCGAAGGTAGGGGGGACACCCAGTGAGGATCGAACTCGCTACTTAGTTGTAATTGTTCTAGCGAGACAAGCTTGCTAACCATTACATCGTCTTGAGGTACCCACACGCCCTCATATATATATATATTAAGCAAATTAATGACAGGGTGACACCTTTCATCATTTACGACCTAAACAGACTAAAGTGTTTTTGTTTTGTTTTTTTTTTACGTTGGTGCAACTACACATTCGCACGAAGGAGAGGGGACGTTGAAATTTTATTCTTTGAAATTTTAAAAAATATATGTTTGGGTATAGAATCTAGCCAATTTCATTTAGTTTTTTTTTGTTTTTGTTTAAGATCTTATTACTTTTCTTATTAACTATCCTACATTATGATAACAGAAGATCTTTAGTTCAATTAAAACATTTTCCACATTGTCATTAATTTTTCTAAGTTTGTTCTAGTATATAAAAATTATATATCATTTTCTCCTAATATTATATATATATATATATATATATATATGTGTGTGTGTATGTGTGTGTGTGTTGTTTGTGTGTATGCGGGGGTGATAAAATAAAGGACAAATAGGAAACGTATATTTTATCATCCTGTCGGATTCCAATCGATATTTGATCTACATTTGATTTTTTAACTCATATATATATATATATATATATATATGCTGAGGTAATTTTGTAATATATATATATATATATATATATATATATATATGCTGAGGTAATTTTGTAATACATATATATATATATATATATGCTGAGGTAATTTTGTAATAATATATAATATATATATATAAATATATATATATATATATATATATATATATATATATATATATATATTACGAAATTACCTCAGCATAGGAATAGTCTATTTCTGGTTGATTTGAACTCAGCCGTCTTCAGCTCTTAAGCGCTTTCTGTAACGGATGGATTGTAATTTATTTTCATTATCAGTTCCTCTCCAACAGACGCCTTCTTTATGATAAGGGGCTTTTGATTGTGACTGGGGGCTGGCCTGAGTTATCTCATAACGGGGGAAGTAATCTAGGGTTGGAGTTTATTTATGGCTAGAGCCTTTCTGTAATTAATTTCAACTAAATTTCGGTTACTCCTAATGTACGCCCCGTATGCTAGCAAAAAGTCTGTTTTTTTCCGGGGATTTACAGCAAATAGTATTTAGACCATAAGGGTTTAATGTTATTAATAAATTATAGGAGATTTAACTGTAGGATCAATTAAATTTAGGTAAATCAGTTGACTGATGGATTCATAAATTATCGGTAATACCGGGACATTTAATGGAATAGATCATGCTATCCAACACACATACACCCACATGTATCCACATACACGTGTTTGTGCGTTTACACATACATACACTTATGTCTACCCACATGTATATAAGTAACAATACACACATACACGCACCCATCCATCCACACATATACATATATTATTATGTAATTTTGAATCTGTTCCTATGTCTACATTTCGTAATTAACTCTTTCCGTTAATTTAATAGTTTGCATTGATTTTTGCATTTTATTATCATAATTTTCTCCTCCAAGCATAGCATACACCTATCTCTAAAACTACTGGGGGTGTTTGTGAAACCTAAAATTTATTTGGGGATTCAAGCCCTTTTCACTCGATTCCCAAAATTTTTTCGAAAGAGTTCTTTGGTGTTTTAATTTTGGGTTAGTAAATGACTGTCTGTGTGTTTCTCTGTTTAAATTCTTCTGTAGAGATCCAATGTAAATATTATATATATGTTAGAAGATAATGATATATATGTGTTCCTGATCAAACCGAACTCATAAATAATTACACCAGTCACACTACTACATGCTTATCTAGACGCCTTACGTTACACCTATCCGACTACAGCTCCATCAGAGCCCATTTAAACACACACATAAACTTATCAGACTCCATACGAGACATACTAGTTATAAATACAAGCATAATAACCTCATCCACATGTAAAAAAGATTTAAAAAATAATGAGAGCTTTACTAATAAAAAAGAAAAAGCCAACACTCAACAATTTTAACTACGAACACGGCCACAGTACCGTGTTCGGAAAATAATACATCTCTATAACTCTAGAAACATACACACAACCCATACAAGTAAAAAGTAAAAATAAAACCATCCTTGATAATGGCTAAAAGTATAGCCGAAAGTGCTCAAAAATGCAGAACTTATGGACAGTTTCTCTCTTTATAATACCGCAAGAACTTTTACACATGTCAACATGGTCCAAATACGATTTAGACACCAACTGCCATGATTGAAAAATAAATGCATTAACTTTTATTTGTCTCTGAAAACTATAATAAAGCTCGTTCTTGAAAATGACAATGATGATTAAAACTTGAATATTATATTTTATACACTCAAGAATCAAATATCCGTTATCTTGTATGAAAAACAAGAGAAAACCATGAAAACAAATATTTACTCAAAAGTTGTCTGTGGTTTTTAATAAAGTCTACTGAAATTAAAATATAAAATCCATGAAAGGTTGGATCGGTAAGACAAAGTTATTAGCTGTATTTTGATCTGAGATTTTCACTTTATAATGTTGGAGGTCAGTGCTTAATGGAGAAGCGCTGTATCAAGTGTAGTAACAAGGAAGGAGATTATGTTGAAATACTAATATGTATGTGTGCCTGTGTGTGTTTCTCTTCGCCGACCACGACTATTGGTTTCATTGATTGCGAACTATAGCGAGCATGAAACTAATAGTCGTGGCTGGCTAAAAGAAATGTATTTATATAAGGAATGATATTCATTAGATGTTAATGTCTGTTTGCTAGGTTGGCGTCTTCCAGTCGGAATGACAAAAAAAAAAAAACAACAAAAAAACTACCCAAAATACGAAGTACATTAAACCGTATATTCCCCAGATATGTTCACCAGTACCATAAATCCACTGTAGAAAAGCTCAGGGAGAATTAAAAAAAAAAACAACAACTTTCGACAAATCATGAAACTTCGACAAAATAACATTTTTTCAAAACCAGAGTCGAACCATTTACGTTGAACTATCTACAGCATAAAACATAAGCAGGTCGATAATCTACATCCCAAATTAAAATCATTATGCATATAAATGGAAGTCCATACGATGTTAAGATCTTATACAAAATGTATCCACCACGAAACTTATCAAAAACAGAAATTGATGCCGTCAACTTAGGACTCAAATTCGTCATTGGCATTAGAAAAGGTGACACAATTGACAACATAGGAACCACAAAATGAAGTATACGAACTTTGAAAAAAACTTTAGACACTTTTTCTGAAATGTTCCTCATATATGTGATTTTCATAAAGTATTAAAAACACGTAGATACGTAGGTGTGTGAATGATCCCAACCTCCATTTTGTTTTTTCTTGTTTATCATGACCGCATTGATTACTTAAAGACAGAAAAAATAAACTAATTGAAGCGTGAAGTAGAAAGATATTTTGAT